AAAGAAAGCGAAAAGATACTACTTTTCCCGCACGAGTAATAAAAAATAACGTTGTAACTTCATATTGTTGTGATTTGATAATTTCATCTGTTTAATACCGAGTGACGACGAAATCATTGCAATGATCGCTATTTCATTGATTTTTATCGTATCAATTTGAAACTTAGCTATATTAGTTATAAAAACTTTTATTTATTTTTATTAACAGTTGAATATTACTTTCTATTTAACTGTAAGTGGGTACAAGAAAATAATTTTAAATGTCACTCACTCCTTTTTACATTTTTTATTTTCAATTATGCTTTGCAAGACATTCCCAATTTATATGGGGAAATTTTGTAGTTATTATTTGCAGTTACGCCAAACCGCCCAGTGAAATATACGTCAAGAGAGATTATGTTGTGTCTTTTTAATTAGGTTGTCAAAATTTTATATGAAATAAAAGATCACTATCAGTTTTTATTTAAATTCTCAATATTAACGTAAAATTTACTTTTGAAATTTAGAATAGAAAATACCTACCAGAAATTACGTGTGTATACGAGTAGTTACTTAGGAAACAAAAGACAATAATAATATTTCTATTTTTCTAAACTATTCTAAATTTCAAAAATATAAGATTACTTTTGAGAATTTAAAGTTTTAAAGACAAATAAAAGTGTTTATATTTAATTGTAAACTATTCATTTTCAGAACTCACGGAAACATTAACAAAATATCACCTTTGCTTTATTTATCGGTAGACGGTTTGACGTAGTCAATTGTTATGAGTAATAAAATTTCACCATATTCAATTTGGAATGAAATAGCTCTACTAGGCCATTTCAAAAAATAACATCAATTTGTGAGATAACGCTGTGTAAAAATATGGAGGGCGTCGTTTGATATTCTTTGTTATAAAATATCAAAAATGAAAGAAAAACTATAGAAATGAACCAAATATCATATGGTGCCATAGATAGAGGTAGCTTTTCACATTTACAATTTAATATTTTATAATTAGCTTTAACAAGAACTGACCCTAATGCTAGTGTTAATTAGTCACTTACGAGTGCATTTCATAAAAGGAACTTTAAATGTTATCTTTAAAAGTTCTTACACGAATTATCTACACAGGATGACGAATAAAGCGGATTTTAAAAACCTTTTAAAATTAGAACTAAATGCTTTAGGTCTAGTCTTACTTCTCTGCAGGTGTATGTATCCTTACGGTAAATCAATAACTAAAATGTTGGTTTTAAATTATCAGTAACTTTACTTCTAAATATTTACTATTTAGATATTAGTGCTTAAAAGTGATAACCCGTTTCTGTTTGTATTAAATAGACATGAGAAAATAATTTTATTTTCTTCAATTTACAGGGTGTGACAATATTCCGTGGACATAGAACTACTACGTGTTGTTGGAATCAAAATAAGTCTATTGGACACAATTTACCTCTATACAAAAGTGCTTCGTTTGTTCGTTAGAGGGCATCAAACTTTATAAAAATAAACACATTTTTTCAGATGCTTTAAGAACCGCTATTCCGATTTGAATGATATTTTGGGTCTACATTTAGTCTTTTGCTAAGTGATTTAATATTTGACTTCACAAAAATCAAGAAAAACTAAGGGAAGGGTGAAAACGAAAACTACCCCCACCAATTTTACTATAAATATTTCCCAAGTCAACCGACGTCAACCTAACCTAACCTAACCTAACCTAACCGATTTATTTTTCGTAAAATGATCCTTTTTACACTAACTCACATTTTTTGTCTGTTGTAAAAAATCGCCATCGCACATACTTTTTAACAAGTCAAGCTCACAGAATAGTCTAGTAATCCTTACTAGGCTAGTAGGCCGTAGAGGTATTAATGCTGAAATGTCCTACTTAATCTTTTCTCAATAAGAGGTAAATAAGTCTTTATTACTTGATTTGGGCGATTATTACGCAAATTGAAGATACACACACTTCTTCGAAATAGACTGTCATTTGAACATTCAAAAATGTTGGACCCCTTATATTTTACTTTCCAAAATGGGATAATAAAAGGAATCTTGATTCTGATTTAGTCTTTAAAGTTCCTTTCAGCATTTTATTCTTTGTTTATTCTTTGATTTTAAGCTTTAATCATGTAACGTTTTAATTCAACTGTATCTAGATTGTTTGCATGTTTGCATTAGCTGTGGACGTTGTCGACGTCGCTTAAAGCCGCGTCCAAGCTAAGCGAACAAAACGTTCGCGAACATATATAATTAAACAGATATTAAGTGAAAATTGTGAGATAGGTAGATTTATAAATAATAAAGCCAACAAGTACAACTAGCCTAGGCCTATTAAGCCGCGTCCAAGCTAAGCGAACAAAACGTTCGCGAACATATATATTTAAACAGGTATTAAGTGAAAATTGTGAGATAGGTAGATTTACAAATAATAAAGCCAACAAGTACAGCTAGCCTAGGCCTATTAGGAGCGCGGAGCGCCGAACGGCTAGTTTGTACGCCTGAGTGTGCGTCTGCCTGCATGCTAGAGCACGCGCCTTCTTTTTCCGACGGGTGTCGGTACATTAAAAGGAGTGCACGGCGTGCATTTCGGCGGACACTTGGAAGGGTCTCATTTAATTTCGGGCGTCCGTCTGTGATTTTTATTTTTTACCGAGTATTCGACAATCGGAGACGCAGTTATTAACTGGGATCGTGAAAAACATTTAAAACTAATTTGTTTACACAAAGAAAATATTTTATAATTTTAATTTTATTGTGGGTTGAGTGTGAATAGCTATGTAGCTAGACTTCGCCCAAATAATTTCATTTTTGTCAATAAAGACCTTTATGATTATTTTTATTAAAAACCGGAATTATGGGATTCTGAAATTAAAAATTACTATTTAATAGGAAGTTTTACACCGGAAATGAAATTTTACCATTACATTTTTAGAAATAAATATACCGGGTGTTTCACACGTAACGACAATTTTACTCCAAATACCTAAATAATGAATTATTCGTAAAAAAATGCTTTTTCCAAATATGCTGAGCCAGCGTCGTACCATTTGTAAAATTTGAGTTTTCAACACAGTCAATAGTTTCAACACAGTCTTGGTACTCTAGATTGAAATTTAAAATGCTATTTTTATTTAATTGGAAATGTCTAAAATTGACATATATGTCATTCTATTCAGAATGTCATTTTCTATCAAATAAAGAAAAAAGTACTGAGGATACAATCTAAAAATCCAAAGTTGTAATCATCTCCGGTGAAACAGGAAGTGACCGAAGGTAATTGAATACGTCAATCAATCCCGATTTCTGTCATATACTAACAAACCAAATTTCGTTGTATCCTTGTTTGTTTTATTATCTGAAAAAATAAAAAAGTAAAAAAGGTGAACCCCTTTTGAGAGACACTTGGTAGAATCGGCTAAAAATGAATACAGGTCTTAAAAATACACTATAACGAATAATCTACCAAAAGGCCCCTGTGGCCCTCCGCCTGCTAAATATTGATTCTTCAACGACAAAAGTTCATAAACTGTTACGGTTAAGTTATTTAATAAAATGCTTGCACTGTAGTTTTCTCAGCTTTGCATCAATTTTGTTTTGCTACAGAGATTCTTTTTTGTCTTTTTGCAAGCATCAGCCAATACAATAAAAGCAGCTGCCGCAATTTTCATGTTATCATCCATATTTATTTTTTCAGCTCATATTAAGCCGGGCACTCGAAAAAACAGCGACTACCTAAACGCATCCTAGATCTATTGAGTAAACTGGTTGTCGCATTCTTCCCCGCACCTCAGTCCGCGGGACCGATGGGCTGTGCCGTCGTTTACGACCTGCTGCTAAGTATATAGTGTGAATTATATATGTTCGCGAACGTTTTGTTCGCTTAGCTTGGACGCGGCTTAATAAGTGGACGTCGAACCATTCAATTATCGACGTGATATTCTTGACATCGCCCAATACTGTACACTACGTGCCCAATACTGCACAGTCATATTGTAAGATGACGCTTTCGATATACCGGGTGCGTATGAAAAGTCACCCCTTTTAATATATAACTTTTTTATTTTTTCAGATAAAAAAACGAGATTTGGTATGTTTGTATATGACATAAATTAGGATTGATTGACATTGTTTTTGGTCACTTCCTGTTTTGAACTTTTGATTTTTAAATGGCTCCCTCGGTATATCTTTACTTTATTCTATAGAAAATGACAATCTGAATAGAATGACACATCATATGTCAACTTTTGACATTTTCGCATATGCTTTATTTTGAATTGTAACATGCGGTTCGTAACGACAATTTGACTCGAAATACCAAGAAGTGTATGGTACCAAATTATTCGTAAAAAATGCTTTTTCCAAATATGCTAACGAGCCACTCTTGTTCCGTTTAAAAAAATGAGATATGATAAATACGATTTGGGCATCTTTTAACCAGCCAGGACAAGACACGAAAAGGCTCCTCCAAGGCTCCTTGATGAAAAATTAGTGTTTTTAACACAGCCATTGCACTCTAGATTGACATTTAAAATACAATTTTTTTTAAAGCGAAAATGTCAAAAGTTGACATATGATATCTCATTCTATTCAGAGTGTCATTTTCTATCAAATACTGAAAAAATATACGGAGAAAACAGGAAGTGGTCAAAAACAAAAACAATTGAATAAAATGACATATCATATTATGTCAACTCATCGTCAATCAATCCTAATTTATGTAATATATTATCATACCAAATGTCGTTTTTTTTATCTGAAAAAATAAAAAAGTTATAGGGGTTAGCCACTTTCGAGACGCACCCGGTAAAATGATAATAAAATGGGGATATAAATTAACTAGAGATCGTTGTATTTGTTTTAGCGTAGTAATTTCTTAAAATTCTTCCTATATTCTTATGAGAGTTTCCTTTTTGGTGTAGTACGAATATATTTTTAAACGACATAGATATCTTAATTATTGGATTTACAATTTACGTTAATCTTCTAAAATTTTTATAACCATAATTTAGTTATTATTTTTTCAGCCTTTGCCTGTCCGATTTGCTGTTCTGTTTCTTGGTATTGCCTTTTTCTGCTAGTCAGTTCTTCCATGGGACATGGATTCATGGAGAGATTTTATGCACCATGGTACCGACCTTACGTTATGGGACGATAGGAGTTTCCCTACTTAGCATAGCTTCAATATCTATAAACCGGTAGGTATATTTTAAAAAAATGGCCTAGTGACATATATGTATTAATATTGGACCCTAAAATCTACATAAATATAGTCCCAAAACTGCAGCAAAAGTCGCTCATTCTTATATAAAATTTAATTTTATAAAGATACTACATATTACGCTTTACATATTAACGTCCTTCTTCTTCTTACAGTGCCACACTCTATATAGAGCGTCGCGCGTCGGCTACCTCTCGCATGTACTTGTGACGTGTGTCATCAGTGTTTCACAAGTACACGGGACCTACAGTTTATTACCGAATCCGAACGGCATATTTGAGAGGCTGTACAACGCAAATATACTCAAGGTGGTTTGCCAGTGCCTTCCTTGAGGTGGCGGCTCGTTGGTCGCTCTATTTAGATAAATAAATATTTTTATTTAAATAAATAAAGCGACCGTACTGGCTGGGGATCGAACCCAGTACCTTCCGCTCCGCAGATCGACACACTAACGCTGGAGCTACGGCCGGCCACGAGTATTAACGTTAGTGCAGCAAAATCCGTTTTATCCGCTTATACCGTATGATCGAAAAAAAAAATAGCAACCAGTTGACTCGGAAATGACGATCGATGGCATTCCAAATATAATTTTACATATCAAATGATAGCGATATCAGTCATCTTCATTTCATAGCCATCGCTGACGCCTTTTTTTCTTGATCATATTGTATTTGCTTTTTATTGTCATTATTGTTGCAAATCCCGCATTTTCCATAGGCTTTTTACACAAGTATAATATTGCTACTGACGTCTTATCCATTTCAAATCCTTACCTAATTTTAACAAAGTAGCATACCTAATAATTCCAAACCAGGATGCCAATTTGCTGCAGCAAAACCCGCAATATGCATCATACTGCAACAAAATCCCCCTTAAGCTTGATTTTCATGCATCCGTTGTCCGACGATACGTTGATACGATATTAATTTTATTGGTAGAATTTAAAGACTTTGATTGGTTAGAAAATAACGCAGTTTTTAAATTTATTGCATTTTCATGCCTCCGTTTATCGGATATACGTTGGTGTTATTTTATATTTTCGTTTCCATAACGATTTTGCTATTTTACTTATATTTTTATTAAGGTTAGATCAAAGAATATGCCTAGCTAGAAAAAGAATGGACTCTGCCATACTGAAAAATGGTCTTACAGAAGTGGCGCCATCTATTGAGTAGGGCTTGTTTTAAATGGATCGAAGCGCGGGCTTTTAATTAAATTTGATTATTAAATCTTATTTTTTACACAAATTCAACAATACTAATAACAAGTATCGTTGTGATGTGTAAAAAATAAGATTTAACAGTATAATTTATACAATTATTAAATAAAATTAAAGCCAAACATGTGTAAAAATTATTTATTATTTAAAGTTTTTATTTATAAGTCAAATATTTAAACATCATTTATTATAAGAAAACAACATCAACGTAATACGCCCAAAGTTTTGTAAATGGAGTAAATATAAATAGGTACTTAAATGATGGCAAAAATAAAAGACTTACATTATATTTTAGGGCCACAAACAAAAGGAATTGTCTAATTAAAACCATATACAAACTAAAATATATAGGAAACTGAAATGATACCGTCTGTTGGAGAATTCAGTGGCGCCATGCATCGGGTCGTTACACAACTTATGATACAATTTTATTTTATTTTACAGGAAACTTTACATTTTAACGACAGGTAACTATATTGTTGCGTCGACTCTAGCGCCATCTATTATCAATTTTTGGAACGTAATTTATTTTTTTTGTACAGAAAATAGATTATTTTTCTTCTATTTCCTATTTTTTAATAAGAATAAGATACTCTAAATGCGACATCGCTCCATTACATCGTATTGTTCTCAAACAGGTGACGTTTCATTTAGAATTAACTTATTCTCATCAAAAAATATGAAATAGATAGAAAAAACAGCTATAGTTAATAAAATAAAAATAATTAACTGTGTGTGGATATGTTGAATAATTATTATTAGTAATAGCTTTATTAAAAAAAGTAAATAATACAAATTATACAATAAATAAAATTTCTTCTTCAGACGAAGGCTCGCACGGCACTGCTATATTTAACTTGTTCATATAAATACAGTAATAATTATAAATCAATACAATAGCATTAAATAATATAAAATTCAACTAACAAAGTTTTGTCGCGAACTTATTCGAAGCGCGGCGAAAAAATGTGAATTGGATCAATGGTATCTATGTATAAAAATGCAGACCCACGGATTAAAGCGAAGTAACGCGAAGAATCAAAATACATGCAATTAATCCAATGACATTTTGGCGCTTCGCAAAAGTTTAAAGCATGATGAGCACTTGAGCGAAGCGCGCCGAAGCCGAAGCCATGCGAAGCACTGTTTTTCGCACGCGATGGATAATTAAAGTTGCTTTAACCTGACCTTTTTAATTTTAGTATTATGCGTAGAGAAATATTATCTATGTGACGATTTGATAAAAACATTGGATTCATAACGTTAATATAAAAATGCCTTTTATCTGCATTTTTCCTCAATTTCCACCCAGGTGTTGTCTCGTCTCAATTCATTATAATAATTTGGATTCTCAACATAATTCTTTGTAGCTCTGTATAATCATAATGAATGTTTCATCATACGTGATCTCAATAATTAAACTGAATTCACAGGTTGTACCATTCCTTTGATATGCTTGAGATCTGAAACAAATAAATATGTATAATTATGTGACACATCAAAAAAACCTCGAGTATGGTTTATAGGAGGAAAAAATTAAAAGTTGATGCCGTTGAAGGGCTCTAAAATCTCAACAGAAATTGGCTATGAACTTTTTATCTTAGTCTTTAAGTTAACACAAGAATTATTTTTCATAAGAAATAATTATGGTGTTTATATGCCTTTAAAAAAAAAATAAGCAGGATTCAAAAACAATTGCTAACAAAGCAAATTTACATTTTTGAGTAGTATGCTCCACTTATTATATTTTTAATTCTTACCTAATTTGGTTGTAAACAACTGCCTGGGTTAAATTCTTAAAAGAGGTCTTACAAGAGACAGATATTATACCTCACTCACAAAACTGCATCATCTGCACTTTGGAAGATTCCTGATTTGGGTTATCTGATCCTTTCTCTAAAATGATAGATACAATTTAAAAATCTAAAACGATAATTTTAATAAATCAAATTCAGTTTGGATTCGTAATACATATTTAACATTTTTAATAAACTTTGGAATATCTAATAATTGAATCACTCTCTGCCAAATTAAAGTAGCCAGTGCCATAACTTGTTTATTTACAGCTCAATTAAAATATTTTTTGTTATAAAGTTGATAAGATATTTTTTTTTAAATAATGTTCATCTTCATTACTGAATATTTTACGACATTAATTTGGCCTACAGTGTAGGTACGTTCTTTATTTAACTAAATGCATATACTTACCCATATGAACTGGTGTATATAAAAACTTTAGAATTAACTTCTAAACCTCTTTTTATTCCATGTACGATCTTGATTACAAAAATGTAAATCACAAACTCTATAAATCTTTTAAATATCTTGCTGTGTTGTATTTTCCATTTTAAGGTTTCGCACTTGATATCAGTTTTGAAATAATGTAGGACCGTTCTTCGAGAATGTATGTCTTTTGGAAAAAGACATCGGAACAACATAATTATGAAAGGGTTTACGGCCTGATTCCATCATTGTTTTTAATAAAAAGTTTAAATAATCACTAAAATTCCAGTAAAACTTTTTTCGATTTTTGACGGTACATATTATTTGATTAGAACTGACTTGATTTGATTTGAACTGCCTAAATATTTTCGCCTTAAGCGCGACCGGTGGTTCGTCACAGAACTAATAAATTTGTATATAACTGGTTGCGGTAAAATTGTCCTTTCAAAGATCTCAATTTCAGTTTCCCATATATTTTAGTTTGTATATGATTAAAACACATATAACAAAATGACAACAAATTATAATTTGAAAAACGTTTTGATAATCATTTGATAATATTATGATTGGCGCTATGACAACGACACTATTTTTTGAGAATTTGACAATAGTATGACAATGGCCGTTGGTAACTATGGAAACTACAAAAAAATTCTGATTTAACGCCATCTGGCAATAACTAGTAGCAACTTCTTAACCTAAAAATTAATTGCACTACCACCTAGCGCCTGAGGCTGGAACTATTTTATTTGAAATTTCCGTGGAAACGGTGGAACCGCTTTTGCTATTTCACTTTCCCACCCCTGGGTTAGATTAAATTTGTCAAAAAAGTGCCAAAACGTCCGTTATCGTATGAACGGCATCGATGGCATTCCAACGGGCTGAAGTAAAATATTTACGGATGAAAAGTGGCGCGAAAACGCTATGAGCAATCAAAGAACCGTCGGACCAATGTATCAACGTATAACGGATGCATGAAAATCAAGCTTTATCCGAATTATTTCTGTATTTTTTCTGTTTAAAAATTAAATATTAATTTTTATTTCTAGAAAAAAAACAGATACAAAACAATGATTCCACCTAATGGACACGTTTTTTTTTGTAAAAGAACGCTTTAAACATTTGTTAAAACAATTTTTTCGTAACAACCTTTTTGAGATAAGACGGGTTTTGCCATTTGATGCCTCAAATACATTTATAGTTATTTTGGTTTTGTTCAAATGTTTGAAATTTTGATTTTAAATTATTAGAAAAATGAAGTTCTGAATAGAAATAGTTTCTAACTGCATTTTAAATGTGATTTTGTCAAAAAGAGATCTACATATCCAAATAAAGTGAAACATATTTTAATAGAATAACGCGCTCTTTTTTAAAAGTATAATTTTTAATTTTAAATATTATTCTAAAAGATGTAGTCTAGATAATTGTGCAATCTACTATGTTGCCTAACTTGTAATTATTAAGAGTAAAATTGAAGTTAAATTTGAATAACATCATCATCGTCATCATCATCAAGCAGCCCGCTTTCACGTCCATAGTTGAACATAGGCCTCCTCCAAACGTCTCCAATTCTCGCGGTTTTTAGCTGTTGCAAGCCAGTTAGTTGTTATTCGTTTCAGATCGTCGGTCCATCGGGTGGGAGGTCTGCCTTGGCTACGCTTGTCGGCTCTTGGTCTCCACTCTATAAGTCTCTTGGTCCATCTCCCGTCTGCCATTCTAGCAATGTGTCCAGCTCATCTCCACTTTTGTTTTGTGATTCGCTGGATAATGTCATCCACTTCCGTACGTCGGCGTATATCTTCATTTCTTACTCGATCTCTCAAAGTCAGGCCAATCATAGACCTCTCCATCCGCCTCTGTGTCACTCTCAATTTTTCTGCGGTTGCTTTTGTTAGAGCGAGTGTCTCTGCGCCATAGGTCAAAACCGGGCGGATATATTGGTTAAATGCCTTTCTTTTCAGGTGTATTGGGATATTTGCTCTAAAGATGTCCCTCATTTTTCCGTAAGGCGCCGATCCCAAGGTAATTCGTCTAGCCAGTTCACAGGTTTGGTTATCTCTGCTTATTTTGATCTCATGGCCCATGTATACATATTTGTGGACTAATTCTATTCTGTTGTTGTGAATTTGTATGTGTTCGCTGGGCACCATATTAGTCATTATCTTAGTCTTGTCAAAATTTATTGTTAGTCCAATCTCGTGTAATGCATCGTTAAGTTCTTGAAGCATGTCTTTGATCTCTCCCAGACTATATCGGACACTATAACGATATCATCTGCAAAGCGGAGGTGGTTGAGTTTCTTACCATCGATAACTATTCCTTTTTGTTGCCAAGCCAGCATTTTAAATGCATGCTGAAGAACAGTAATAAACAATTTTGGCGACATGGTATCGCCCTGCCTAACTCCCCTTTTTACTTTTATCTGCTTAGTTGTGGAATTAGTAGATTTACAGTTGTTGTAGCATTGTCATATATGTTTTTTATTATGTTACAATATCGATTGTCGATTCTACATTCTTGTAGCGCTGTTAGGATGGCCGGTAATTCTACCGTATCGAACGCTTTTTTAAAATCGACAAATATCAGTGCTAGGGGACGATTGTATTCGATGGTTTTTTCTATTAAGGTTTTTAAACACTGCAGATGATCGTTGGTACCAAATTCGGAACGGAAACCAGCTTGCTCTTTAGGTTGATAGAAGTCCAATTTTGCCTCTAGTCTATTTGTTATAATTCGGTTTATAAAGATGGTTAAGAAGGCTAATTGGTCTGTAATTTTCCAGGTCTGCTATGTCTCCTTTTTTATGTAAGAGGATAATTATTGAGTTATTCTACTTTGTAGGGATATTTTGATTTTCCAGACAGAGATTGAACAGCCGTTGAATATTGGTCATTAATACTGTTCCTCCCATCTTTATCGCTTCTGTGACGACACCATCGTCCCCCGGAGCTTTATTGTTCTTCATCTTTTTTAGAGCATTATAAATTTCACTTACAGCGATTTCCGGAACATCTTCAGAACCCTGATTCTGAACCTTTCCTTGTAGGTACTTCCTCGAGTCTAGAGTAGAATGCTTGGTGTATAGTGTTTCATAGAATGGTTCCATTATCTGTAATAAATGTTCTCTATTAGATGTTATATTACCATTTTTGTCCTTGAGTTTGACAATTTCTTTTTTTCCATTAGTGAGCTTGCGTCTCATTATTTTCATGCTCTTATTATCCTCGATAGTTTTAACTTAATGATGCTTAAAACTATTGAGGAAATTTGAATAACAGCATATCAATAAAAATCATCTTCAAAAAAGTCTCAATATTTATATATTATACCATTATCCAGAACCCATTTTTCTGCATGGTATTGTCGATAATGATATTGAAGATACAACATGCCCATGTCTATATTTCATTAGTATCCCCATTAGTGCCCCATGTCTATATTTCATTAGTATCTTCTAAATGAGTTGACTGATGCTATCTTTAACTTATTGGAATTTCTTTAGGGCTTGTAACAGATTGACGAAGAGATGCTTCTTGAACGTCTTCTGTTGAAAGTCCTGTGTTTTTTTAGGGTTGTCGATATTCAAAATAAAAAAATTGAGGAAAGGAAACGAAATAAAACGTTATTAAAATTTATAACATTCACGTTTAGTGCTACCTACAGCACATTTCAATAAAAAATAATGATATATGTATATTATAAAGATAATTATAAAAAACTTTAAAACTATGCATTTCCGCTCCCATGTTTATAGGAAATTTTTTTCATATTTTTTGATGAGGTACCAATGAGTATCTGTCGGCGCGGCGCGCGGCGTGTTAATGAGTGTCTGTTATTAGTGAATATGTCTTCAGTTTTTTAGCATTACAATATGTCCCACTTATAGTAACTTTTGCCTTCAAATTTTCATTCAAATCGCTAAAAGCACTTGGAAGAAAATTATAATAAATCTAAAAAATAAAGTTATAGCTACGAAACAAAGCAGAATCTGCCCTATGTTGATACAAAAGAAAAATCTTCTTTTTACGTGAGGAAATCTCCCCACGAAATATGGCATATGTTTTTTAAAACACCCTGTATATCTAATTATATACAATGCCATGCTATCGAAAAAAGCGTCATAGTTGGCTCGAAAATGAGGATTGATGTCAAGTTATATGTGTATGGTTTTTCCATTATACGGCATTTTTATATAATAATAATAATAATAATAATAATAGCTCCCGTATATAGTGTTTAACGCCTTGGGAGTAGCAAGGTACAGCTTGCCATACTAGAGCCGTTCGGTATACAAGGAAGGTAATGTGGCTAGCACTACGCTTCAACCGTCTATTATTACCTCAGGATTGTGAATCCCAAGTACTCATTTAAGGCTGAGTCGACCTACCTAGGTACCTACCCAAACTATTTTTATTTTAATAAAAATAGTCGGCTGATGAAATGCCGGGTGTGGGATTCGAACCCGCTACCTTGAGATTGGTAGACGAGAGCCTGTACCTCTACGCCACCGGGCACCCATATTATAATATACCATTACCATACACCATTTTTGTAATATTGGTATTATTTTACAGGTATATACTTATAGCTTGGCCACAACTATACTCCAAGATTTATACGAAAACGAAAGTAATATTATACATCGCCGCTATTTGGTTGTTTAGTTATGGTTTACAAGTACCTACTCTTATGGGCAAATGGGGCGAATATGGAATGGATGAAAAATTAGGAACGTGTTCAATTAAGCGGGATAAAAATGGTAAAGTAAAATTTTGTTAAATATCCTTATTGTTACTAATGCCTATAGTTTTCTTTGGTTAATATTTTCTATAGATATTTTTGGTCATTATTAGATGTTCTAAAGAACATGGCTCTAAACCAAAATAAATAATACTCTTTTAAGAAATATAAATAATGTGCAGTGATTTTTGAAATTGTATACAGATGATAAAAAAAATTGTACCAAATTTCAGTTAGGTGATAATACAGATAAAGATAAAAAAGTTCCTGTGAATAAATATGCCGTAAGATGCTTCCCGAGGACGTTACAAATCTTGAAATTTTTTAAGGTTTTTAATTAAAACGTATCTTTTTTTAGATCAGATCTGGACTGAAACTACCTTAATTCATCATCATTCAACGTTAATGTTTTTAATACAAATTGATGAAATATGGTACCTACTACTCGTATATCATTGATTCGTGAATTTTTCTCAGTGCTCTAACATTTGACTTTCACAAAATTAAAAAAAAGGACGGGAAGCGTGAAAACTACCCCCACCCCTACATACATTTTAGTATAAATATTTTCCAACTTCAATGACAACAGATTTTCTCTTCGTAAAATGGCCCCTCTAGTATTTACTACATTTTCTGTCTTTTGTAGAAAAGGGCTACATCGCATAGTTTTTGTGAAAAAAAATTTGAAGTATTTACTTTTCCAAAGTAGACCTACAAAATATACAGGGAGTTTCAATATTTCGTGGACATAGAACAACGTATTTTTTGGATCAAAATACCAACAAGTTAATTGCACATAATTTACCTTTATACAAAATTGCTTCGTTTGTCCGTTAGAGGGCATCAATCAAAGATATACCCGAACGTTAATTAATTAAAAATTATTATAGTTATTAATGATACAAGTTCGATACGAATATCATAATGAAACGCGTGGAACGTTAAGTTTCTCCTGGCATATTTGGAACATCTTTCAAAACATAGGAAGGCCTCATCACTTTGGGTATATTATTCCCTTATTATTCCATGCTACGTTCAGTTATATCAGTGAAGAAAAATACAGATATTAGTAAGTACGTCCATTTAATTGCATTTCTAAAAAGAAAATTTTAAGTAATTTAATTTTTTTAAGTAATTTCCCAATTTCGGTCAAAAAAATCGAGAATTTTAAGAAAAGAAGACATAACTCGTTTTTTGTTGGAAGCCGATGATAAAACTTATTTCCTGACAAAAGTTTCATTGATAGTGGGACTTGCGGGAGCCTGCCGGCGTATCGAGTTGACAAATCTGCAGCTGCAAAATGTTAAAGATGAAGGACAATGCTTTCATATCATTATTCCATTTACGAAAACAAAGATATCACGAGATTTTTTTATAACGAAAGGGAATGTTGAGGGAATAAATATGGTGGAAATGGTTCGAAGATATTTAGGTATGCGGCCAAGCAACACAGAGCATATTTGATTTTGGTGGGGTACAGAAATGGAAGATGTATTAAGCAACCCGTTGGCATTAATACTTTAGGGAAAATGTCGTATAAAATAGCATTGTTCCTAAGTCTTCCAAATTCACAACAATACACTGGACATTGTTCCCGTACATCGTCTGCGTCGTTACTTGCAGATTCAGGAGTGGATTTATTAACTGTTAAAAGACATGGTGGTTGGCGCTCTAACACAGTGGCAGAGAGCTATATAGCAAATTCCAAAGAAAATAAGAAAAAAGTGTCATGTAATATTTTGGGTAACATTTCTGGCAATGATGGGTCTTCAACAAGTTCAAGCAATCAGGAAATAAATTTACTTTCTAAAAATTCAACTCACCTGTCATCGTCTGGAATTAATTTAACCAATTGTACTGATATTATAATTAATGTTTACAATAAATAAACGTATTTAGGTACCTTTTTTCCCTTGTTTCTTATTTTAAAATTTGCGTGTTATTATGAATTCATAATAGCACTAGTATTCTCTGGCACTAGTGCTATTATGAAAGCCATAATGACATCCAAATGACAATGTTGCAATGTGTCATAATGACATTGTCGTATATTAATTTTTTTAAGCTTTTTATGAAGCTTATCGTCAAATATAATTTGCTATACTAACATAAGATTCCATATTTTCACCAACTAGATTATTATACCATAATAGATTTTATGCGCCTTCATAACTGAATGTGACAAAAACATTTTTGGAAGTTTATTTTGCAAGAGTCTTTGAAAAAATAAATGTTTTCCTCAAAAAGTATGCACAGCGACGATTTTTTACAAGAGACAAAAAATGTAGTAATTACTAGAGGGACCATTAAAATCGGCCGCCGGTGGAGTTGCTTGTACTTTTTATAGAATTTTATGAAAGTTAAATATCAGAGCACTTAGCAAAATATAGAGCTGCACCCAAAATCTCATTCAAATCTGAATAACGGTTCTTATAATATTTGAAAAAATGTGATTATTTTTTTAAAGTTTGATGCCCTCTGGCGGACAAACGATGCATTTTTGTATAGAGGTAAATTGTGCCCAATGAACTTATTTTGATTCCAAAAATACGTAGTAGTTATGTCCACAGAATATTGGGACACCGTGCATATCTTTGTACCTTTTTTGGCATTTGGCCATTGAAACGTGAGGCATTCTTTTCCGTTAGTAAAAATTGTTTTGGTAGTAAAAAAACACTGGCAGGCGGGTTTCCATTTGGATTAAACGCACTAGGTCTTTTTATTTTGTTTTTTTTTCTATTGGTGAAAAAATATAATTCTTTTTCACGATATTTTTTTATTAGTTCAAGAGCCTTTTGATTTGAAATTGGTCTGTATAATACTGTTCTTCATGAAATGTTAATTTTATATGAAATACATAATATATTAAAAGGATTATTTTACAATTGACTTTATACCACCTTTTTTACTTTAAGGAACCTCAAGTTGAATGTGGCTCAATTTATTTATCTAATACGTTTTCCAAGCTTCTAAAATTACTCTAAAGTTAGTAATTTATTTCCTAATAGTTTATTCATACTTTCACACTCAAAATTTATGGCGACATTTAGTCAAAATATTCCCAGTTTTTAATTAATTTTTAGTACTATAATAATGTATTATATGTAAATATAGGTATAGTTACTACTACATACATAATGTTACTATTGTTAATTTTTTTTGTAATCAAACGGCCATGAGAACGTAGGATAGTTTATATTATAATTCGGTTTACATTTAAAGAAATAAATTCAGATGATTAAAACATATCAATATGGTTTTGTGACGAAAATGGAACTATTTATATATCAGGAAATGTAAATGCGATAAGAGGATTTTAAAAAGCTTGTTTGGAAAAGGGGTTTTATTTTATTTTAATGTTAACTAATAAAACATTTAAAATAATTAAACTACTTATTTTATTTATTCATATTTGTGAAATGGCTAAATTACAATGGCTATAATTTTTAAACCAAAAAATCTCTCAGTTTTCGGATTCTCAACGCTCCAGTATTTGCAGTTCTGCTTATTCACATTTACGTTTAAAAAAAATGAGCACTCATCCCTAAAACAAATATTTTAGAACTGAATCCTTCTATCTGGATCGTCGTCGCCAAGTTCCTGCAGAATCTTCATTTTGTAGGGATGGAATTTGTGCATTTTCAATACTCTTTTGACAGATGTTTGAGGTATTTGAGGATTGATGCCAACTGGCGTGTTGATGTTTCTGGATTGACCAATACCTGACCAATAACTTCCATCTGCATTTCTTCATTCAGTACCCTGGGCCCTGTCCTTTTTTTACTTTTGACCGATCCAGTTTTTTGAAACTTTAGAATCAAATCTCTAACATAAACGTGACTTACGTTTTTCTCCGGATTTCCCTCATTGAAAGCACGGGTCGTTCTCAAATAGCACATACCTTCAGCACCATAAAGAAAAACTATTTGAATTCTTTCTGCCACAGTATAAACCATTTTTCTTTCAAAGAAGCGAATCAAATAAAGGTTTAAAATACCCCCAAATTTGCAAACGATTGAAAATCGATAGAAAACAGTACAAACACGCAAAGATATGCCGTTTTAAGATTCCTGTTTGTTGAAAGAAAATGTATTTTCAATACAAACTGTCGTTCTCCTTGGAGCCTCCGCGACGTATGGGAGGCGCCACCCTTTACAAGCCCTGAGAATAGTGGTACTAAAAACTGGAGTTTCTCACTTATTTAGAAAACACCCCCCTTTTTGTAAAATTAGTTTTACGAAATTTACAACGCTATATAACTTTTTTTTTGGTTTTAGGTAATTCCTCCAAAACAGCTCTCTTTATAATCGGCTTCGCCTTACCCTCTGTGATCATTGTTGTTTGTTACTCGAATATATTTTGGGTGGTGCGAAAGTCCCACAAGAGATTGGCTCAACACTGTACCAACGATGGAAAATTCAAGAGAAGCGAAATGAAGATAACCAAAATGGTCTTGGTTATATTTGTCTGTTTCGTCGTGTGTTACTTGCCTATAACCATCAGTAAAGTGTTTGACCCGGAAGTGAAACACGCACCTCTTCACGTTTTGGGATACCTGTTGATATACTTGGGTAGTTGCGTTAATCCAGTTGTTTATGTTACCATGAACAAACAGTATAGGTGAATATAATTTATGTTAAGTTTTTGTTAAAATACAGTTATACGGGACGAATAACATTAATTTAAATGTATTTAAATTAGTGATGAGCAAATGCAAGACCAAGACCAAGAGTCTTGCAAGTCTTGAACTTTTTAATGGATTTTTACTAAAGATATTTTCATTCTTCTAGAGTATGTCTCCGGATTGTCTTTACAAGAGGAAATACTTTTTTATTATCGTCATTTTTAGAAAAATGCATTCTTCATAAAAATGTTTGCTTGTTTTAAAATGGTTAATAATCCTGTTTATACTTTTCCAAATTTCGATACCGTTTTAGAGAAAATTAAAAAAGAACATAAAAACATAGTTGAATTTTTTCCTAAAAATCAAAAGGTATCTATGGTAATATCATTTCGATTTCATTTTTGACAGATTGTTATAAATAGAATTTTAATTAACGTCATATTTTTTACTGTTTTAAAATGTTAAAGAGGTACAAAATTGACTTAGTTCATTTCTACGGAAAGGGTGATAATTGTTATCGGAAAATGTGATACTTTAACAACAGTAAAAAATATGACGTACATAAATAGAAATTAATAATAACCATCTATCAAATCTAAGTGATTTTACCATAGAAAAAAATCAAATAATCAAATTTAAGTGATATTACCATAGAAACGCCTTAAGATTTTTAGGAAGAAAATCAACTATATTTTCATTTGCTTTAATTTTCTCTAAAACGGTATGGAAATTTGGAAAAGTATTTTTCAAAATGTCAATAATAAAAAGGTTTTTCCTATTGTAAAGACAATCCGAGGACATACTGTATATACAGGATGGTTTGAATGGTAATCAGGAAACTTCGGCAATATACAGTAATTCCATCCGTTCTGTATCTAGCTACGGAAATGTATATTTTTCTCGTAGTAGTGTAATGCTTGTATTACACACCTAAGAGAAATATACACTTCCGTCGTTTTTAGTAATAACTTTGTCGGACAAAAAGTTATTACTCTTCAAAATAATACAAAAACATGTAGGCGGCGCCTCCTACAAGTGGGAGTCTTATAATTTCTCATGTAAAAAATATTAAGGTACCAATTTTCATCCAAATATCGACATTGGTTACGACAAAAATAACAGGCTTACTAGGCTCGTGTATACGGTCGAGGAAGCGTAAGCCTGTTAGTAAGCCCGTTATTTTTGTCGATCTTTTGCATCTCGTAACTGGAGTCGCGTTTTGAGACTCGGCTATAAATACGGGCGTAAGTCTCGCTCATCACTAATTGAAATAATTGGAAATACTGTGTTAAAGGATTATAAGATTAGTGATTGGTGTTGTGATTAGGAAAAGAACTCGAAAGAGAGTTGAAATAAGGTTCCTATATAAACTTCAATTCGGATATCTTCGAACAGTAAAGTAGACATTTAAAATGTTTCGCGCTTTTATAATAGTATGGAAAAATCACATGAAATAAAGATGCCCCATTTTAACGCACATCCTGGTGCTTGTAATGCAAAACTAATTTTGGAAAATAATGTTAGTGTTAGCTGGTTTTAGTATGATAACGACCAGAAAGATGCATTTTTCGAAATCAAGATTTTTCTCAATCTTAAGTTTTGTTCTTTATATTTCAGGAATGCCTATTTAGAAACACTGAGATGTAAATACAACAGCAATTTAGATTCCCAGTCTCCAGGTAACACGCCTACGAAGACACAGGGCATGTCAGTGGCCTATCTTAAGAAGAACCCGAATCCTAACGTTTATTAAGAACGTTATTAACAAATCGTTACATTACCACAAAAGCCAAAGAATATGGAAATATGCATTTACCTAACGTTATTTTTTAAATGAAATCAGTCAGATTACTGTCTATTCAAGGTCATATCGTTATTGTTAATTTGTACAAGCTAGTTTTATAGTATCTTCGAAACATCTACTAGTTATAGAGAACCATGTGATATTATAATTTTGGTTTGGTTATATTTTGAAACTACATAGATGTTATTTTTTTGTCTTAAACTTTGAATCTACAATAATGATTTATTGTAGAATATGACCAAAGTAGTACTTTTAACAAAATATATTTCGTATTTTCCGAGTGCTAACTATTTCAAAAAATATATATTTTTCTCAACACAGGTTGCTATAAATTCGAGGTACGAGCACTGGTATCTCGGAAACCGTAATAGACACGAACATGGTTAAATTGGGTCAATTTTGCGCCTTGGGATGTTTGCAAATGTTATAAAAAAGTTTCAAAATGTTCAAGTATTGCAGAGTTTTTTGAAAACAACTTTTTTTTGGGAAATACATTTTAATTATTTTCTGTCGTTACATTCGAGAAAATCGAAAAACTAATTGCACATTCTCATAGTCGCTTTATCAGGGCTATCTGATCGTATTTTTGAATTTTCAGATGAGCTAATAGTTTTTGAGATATACAGACCAACTTATTTTGTTAAATACAGACCTGCGTTTTTTATTTCAGATTTTGAAAGAATTCAGTCTCTTGAGTACAACGATATATAGTGGCAGGTCGCAGTGTTTCCGACAGAGGACGGCCCCTTGATATTGGAAAAAAATAACGATATACATACATATAGTATATGCCACACTTAATATTTTTTTTCTTTTAAACTAATTTCAAGTCCGGCTCCAGTTTTTTAAATGATTTAACTTTATTATAATAATATAATAATCGTAACAATATTAGGGAGCGTTAATTAACATTGAATAAGCAAAATCGCGCGCGCGCGCGAGCCAAATGGAAGATTCAGATAAGTAATATCCAGGTCAGTATTTTAAAGAGATTATCTTTACCTTTTTGTATTATGAATTTGAAATCTGAATGTAACGATCTACAAACCAGTTTCTAATGTTATACATGTTCGAAAGGATTACCACCCTGCAGTGTACAAATTTATTTTTCGTTCAATTTTATGTATAGCCCTTTCAACAGAGTTTATACTTCCGAATGCATTTTGTACCGGTTTTTTAAATGTTAATGTGTATATATTTCACTTTTACAAATGATGTCAAGTAATGCCACCCAAAGGAAAATATCCTTCGGCGACAGGTCCCGGAACCTCGCTGTCCATTATACTGCTCCACCATTTCCAATCCAGGGAAATCTTCTAGGGAAATGATTTGATTGTTTATATTATATTTATATTATTTATTTCTTATTAGTTTTTATTATTTTACAGTATTTAATTTTCCGTATTCAATCTTTTACAACACATCATTCTTAAGTTTTAAAGTTTATCAGTATTGTTACGACGAATAGATTAAATATTTAAAAAAAACAGAGCCGGACTTAAAATTACTTTAAATTAATTGTGATAAATTGCCCGAAACAAAATGTTAAGTGTAGCATATCGTTGACTCAGGAGACCTAATTGTATGAAATAAAAAATGCAGGTCCGTATTTAAAAAAATTAAGTTGGATCTCAAAAATTATCAGCTTCAATTTAAAAATCCTATCAGGTAGCCTTGATAAAGTTTGGCCATGAGAAGGTGAGATTAGTTTTAGAATTATAATATATAAAAAATAGACAGAAAAAATAAAATTGATTTTCAAAAAATCGTTTTTTTTTAAATAACTCGGCAATCCTTGACATTTTTGAAACTTTTTTGATGGCATCTTGGTGAACATCTCAAGGCGAAACTTTGTCCCAATTTAATGATGTTCGTATCTATCAGGGTTTCCGGTTCTATCAGGGTTCAGGGTACCAATGTTCATCCCGAATTTGTAGCACCCTGTTTACTAAACCGCTCTGTCTGTGGTATTAATATAAACTTACGGGTTAAAATTATTATTTGATCTACTTATAAAAAATACACGATTATATTATATATTTATTTATATCATATCTATCATCATCAATATGGAATTAAATATAAAAAATTATTTTTAAATCCGAAAATAGATTGAAAATAATGTTCTTGTGTCAGCCTTTATCAGGTATAATGGTATTGTCTAAAATAGTATTGACAGATCTCTTTTAGGTGAATGAAATATACCTAATTTATGTATTAGTTGCCATTTTTGTGATATAGAAAATTTAATTTTAAGTGTACAGGATATGCATTTATTGTTTATAGAATTCATATTATCAGTGTAAATAATATAGTTTTTGTTGGAACCTATGGTGTTAACACTGTAAATTTAAAGTCGGAGATCGACTTGACCAGAGCGCTGTAATGGAATGTAATGTAACACGAGCATTCGCTAATTAATGCCGTAAAATAATGGGCGAACGGAGCGGCTCGCGAACACCAACGGATCCAGCGGTGCTCCACGCGACTTACGGTTTTTTAGCGCATCTCATTTATTATTATATTACATGTCAGTATAGATTCGGCGACTGTCCGAATTCCAATCATAAATGGTTTTCATTTAGGTTAGACGTGCTTCTGTTGATTGGCGGTCTAAGAAAATATAATTAATGGAGTTGCCTGAAAACAAAATTTTATTATTCACTGAGTAATATCATTAGTAACTTTACTCCTTGTCATATCCTTTGTTCTTTTTCTGCCACTTTATGACCTTGTTCTCGCGTCCTGTGACTACTGACGTAGCCATAGTTTCACAGAGATGTATTTAGGAAAATATTATGAGTTCACGCACGTATGATATTCACATACGTTTAACGAACCGGTATTTCCAGTTTTTTTTCAGTACTTCCGGTACTAGCAAATTTTTGTTTAATAATGGTAGAGTTCGTTAAACAGCAAGCCAGGGATGGTTGTCAAAAGTAAAATCGATAAAAAATTGAGGTTTAAATGAAAATAATATCAAATTATTAAGTAGTAATAAGTCATGAGAAAATTAACCTGAACAGAAACATGATGACAAATGACTCTCCAAAAAAAATCAAAGCACAATTGTTTGAATTATTATTACAACCAATAGCAGCACGCAGTAAGGCACTCATTTTTTGTCAGTCCGTCTCTGTGCTGGGACGCAACGCTCGAACCTCGCAGGTCGACGGACGAAACTCAACTGAAACGCTCTGCAATCTGCCGATATTCGACAGATTGTAAAAACTGGCAGAAAATATTTGGGAGAGTGCAACTACTCTTTTCTTTCTACTATGGTAATATGGCTGAAAAAACTGGAGTAATGCGAGCCAAGCATTCGTTACATTACAACGATCGGCTCAAAGTATTTTTAAGACTCTTTCCTCAACTCCCCTTAACTATATTATCATCAAATTAATATAATTAGAGTTTAATTATGTGCTAATTAATGCTAACATGGTTAGCAATTGTTTTCTACAGAGCTATAAAAAGTGTAATTTTTATTATTAATGTATTTTGTTTGTTTCTCTACCTGTGAGAATTAATGTAAAACCAGAAATCTGTAAAAAATATAGTAGTTTTACACTGCCATATTTCTTTTAAATTAGAACAATTTGACAATAATTATAAATGTTACCTAGAGATAGGCCATATCGTTTCATTATTGTAAATTGAAAGTATTTTATACATATAGATGTATTATAAGAGTACAAAAACTAATTATAATTCAATTTCACTAGCCGCTCAAATGCCTTACATTAAGGTTAGTTTGTAAATTTTTGTAAATATTTATTTGTTATACATTATAAATTGTTATACCTTTTTATACATATCAAATAAAAATATAAACTTTTTTGTAGTTTTCTCGTTTTTGTACAAAATATATAAGTATACCATATTTTTACTAGTAATACCACTAGAGGTCAAATTTTTTCGATTTTTGGTCGACTAGTTTCGGTAATGGCTTCTCAGCCTGCCCTATGAGATATTGATTTTTACTTTTCATAGTTACACGATAATGCAGTTTTTTAATGAAACATATTACATTCTTTGATTTTTTATTTACTCTGGGCTACTACAAGTGGTAGAAAATAAAAATTTTATTAGTTCTATAGATACATACATGAAACATGAACAGATTCAGATTCACCAATGGATTCTTAGCCTATAAACTGTTGATTTCTACTGATAGTAGTAGCTCAAAAGGGTCATTTTAGGACCTAAAATATTATATTCTTTCATTTTATAGTTACTTGGGCTTACTACAAGTGGTAGAAAATCATAATTTAAAATGTTTTTCGGAACGCTGCATGAACAGATTTACAGCGCGTCACAGTTTTGGCAGCAATTTAGACCTTTAAATTGTTGACTTCTACTCGTTGTAGTTGCACGAAAATACCATCTCAAGACACAACACAATATATTCTTTAATTTTACATAAGTTTTGAGTAATTACAAGTGGTAGAATATTGTTTTTTTGCATTTTTATTAACTTTTCATAAACGCTTTATTGGTATGGAATTCATAATCAGCGCGCAGCGTCAGCCAGCGTCAATCATAAAAGGCTGTGATCATCGTATTTTGACAGTTCAAAATATCAGAAACACTCGCCTTTTGTTGTAATAAAGAATATTGTGCAGCTTGAAAAACCAACAAAATTCTTTGTTTTAAAAATGAATCGGCTTGAAAATCATACTACATGCAAAATATGCGTGAAATTGTCTGATGTAATGATCAATCATCGTGCGATGACTTATTTACCCGCATTAATAGAGGATTGTGGCTTCTACTTGAAGAAAGAAAATTTGTTTCGAATTGTTTACGAATATTTGCATCTAAACTACTCAAAATTCAAAGTACTAAATGGAAAAAAGGTGAATAAAATAGTGTCTAAATATTATATATATTTCATTAGACAGAATATAGAAAACATCTCAGCTTTGTAATTGAAATGTATCAAAATTATCATGCAAACAAATAAAAACCAGACTCTCAAAATGATATTCGTCATTATAAACGTCAAAAAATTTCCAGTATAAACCACAAGGAAAAAAATTTCACTTATAATATCACAAGAGCTTAAATTATTTTCGGAAATTTTTTTGAGGGCACGAATATTTTGAAAATTATCCCGAGTCGAAGACGAGGGATAATTTTCCTAAAATATTCGTGCCCGAAAGAAAATTTCCAGGAATAATTTAAGCTTGCGTGGTATTCGGTAAGAAAATTTCACACCTAAATTTGAAAAAAAAAATATTAATCCAACATGACATTTTAAAATAATTTCAATTTGTTAAGTTCAACCTTTTCAACTGTCAAAAAATTTCCACTAAAGTTTCGTGGCGCCTCGAAAAAATTTCCGGAAATTTTTTCAGTTGCCATGGTAACTAGTCAACATTAAAGCATGTTATTGGTTGAAAAGTAGAGGTGTGAAATTTTCACTAAAATTTATCCGTTGCCATGGTGATTTGTCAAAAAACACGTTTTGATTGGTTAAAAATTACAGGTGTGGAATTTTCGAAAAAACACGGTACCAAAGTTGGTATGGAAATTAAGATTCGTCTCATTCAGAATATTATGGTGAACGTCACCAATCATCATTTCCAAATTAACTTGACGCTGTGTTTTCAATAATTTACAGCATTTGATTTAAACTATACTGTAGTGATGACAATATGATGACAAATCAAGTATCGTATATTTTAGTATTATTTGTATATTATATTTGTATATTTTGTTATATCAAGATATCTCATGATATTTGATATCAATCTCTATGTGATATCAAAAAATACTAAATATTGAGATTGATATTGATGTTTAATTTGGTGTAGGAATTGGTATCCACATTAACTGAAACACATGCATCCTTGTTAGGCGGATGCACAATTTCTAAAGCACAGGCAATCTAATTTAGAATGCGATACAAAGTCTCTCAGATTGACAATATGACCGAGCACTAGCACATACACGAAGAACCATCATGTTCCTGTTTACATCCCTTGCAAGTGTGTCATACTTATCTTTATTTTGGGAAGGTATTCCAAAAGTTGACGTTATCCTGTTAATATTCCGTACTAGGGTACGGTATTAGAACTACCTTCCATATAAGATCTTTATAAAACGTATTCTGATTCAGCACGCCAAAACTTGCTGCGTGTACCTTTACCCAATCTGCGTTCTTAGTACATCTTTAGCTCCCCATACACCAGAAGGCTCGGCCTGAGTGTCCGAACTTCGGACCCGGCCTTTGGACCCGGCCTGCTGACTTGATCATTCACTCGAAATACTAGAGTTTTGGGTAAAAGGCCGGGTCCGCGGACTTAGCCCGCCTATTAGATATTTCATCGTTTTATAGCAGTTGTAGCTTGGTTCGCGAATTTTTAAAATTTCTGAAAGTTTTTAATCACTCATACTTAATATATCCGGCGTTCGTCTGTGTTTTTTAAGAATGAACGACAAACCGAAAACACGTTATATCTTGTGCTATGTCGTATGTATTTGTTATCAATAAAGAAAAATATAAAAAAACGGCGCAAGTGGGTATAAAAAATATTAAATTAAATAATATAATATATTTTTATAGCATTTGTTGCTTTGTGGGACAAACTGTATATAAATAAGAGTTGATTTTATATTCATTGTTAATGATTAATATAATAATTATTTACTAAGTAGATAAATTATTAAATGTTTCGCGACTAGATACTATTTGTACTTTATAGATACTATTGTACTATTAGTACTTTATTAAATTTAATATAAATAATTAATGTTGGCGTAAATAGTTCAATATTTCTCCAAAATTGTTGTATTCCGTCTTGATATTTAAGTAAATAGTTCTTATACCGGGTGCGTCTCAAAAGTGGCTCACCCCTATAACTTTTTTTATTTTTTCAGACAAAGAAACGAGATTTGGTATGTCAGTATATGAAATAAATTGGGATTAATTGACGTATTCAATTGTTTTTGGTCACTTCCTGTTTCACCGGAAATGGCTACAACTTTTGATTTTTAAATGACACCCCCTTTAATTTTTTACTTTATTGGATATAAAATGACACATTGAATAGAATATAATAAAATTATATAAGAGTTTCTTGCCTTGAACTGCTAATATAGAAATTAATTCCACGTGTTCGACATAATGTGGATCAACCTGCTCTCACTACCGGTTTCGGGGCCCTACCCCATCATCAGGTGAGCTTGGGTCTTTCCACAATATGTCGAGCACAGCGCAGAGTATATACACACGACTTGTCGGAAAGTAGCAGTTCAAGGCAAGAAACTCTTATATAATTTTATTATATACCTAAAAACTGCAAGAAATTTATTTTCCATTATATAATTTGGGCTGGCCGAAAAAAGCCTTTATTTACTATCGATAGTTGTGCCTCGGTGGTACGAAAAGTACTACCATTGCACGCAGGCCGCTATCTCGCGATGCGGGACTTAATATCTTACCGCTACTTTGTAGCGTTTTATTTTTCTTTTTATAAAATTCCAAATTTTAATATTGCTGGCGCCATCTATTCGCTAGATGTTAAACTTCATTCAGTACAGGTAGCGGTTCCTTTCCATAAAAACAAATTTCATTCAGTATAGACGATAGAGTTCACTTAATTGCCTTTGGTCATATGACCTGTCTATTCTATTCAAAGTGTCATTTTCTATCGAATGAAGTAAAAAATTACCGAGAGTGCTAATTAAAAATCAAAAGTTGTAGTCATTTCCGGTAAAACAGGAAGTGACCAAAAACAATTGAATACGTCAATCAATCCTAATTTATGTCATTATACTAACATACCAAATCTCGTTTTTTTTTATCTGAAAAAAAAGTTATAGGGGTGAGCTACTTTTGAGACTCACTCGATATAGATAAATCTAATCTCACAGACCAAGTCCGCGGATTTGTCTTTGGACAGGCTTAGTTCGCCAAAGGCTTCACCTGCCAAAGACTTTTGGTCTGGCCCACAAACGGAAATATTTCATCCGAAGGCCGGATCCATAGGCCGGGCCTTCTGGTGTATGGGGAGCTATTTGCCAATTTTTTCATTCTGAATTGGGTTGTGTTTGGTTTGGTTCTTTGATCTTCTAGTGTTTTTTCACACGGTCGTACTGGCCGTGTTAATGTTGAGAGTTCTGTGTCGCGGCTTTAAAATGTCAACGTTTTCACAGTAACTTTCAACATGTCTATTATTTTTTACCAAACCAAACTCAATATCAATGTGCTCAAATCCATTCAATATTATCGAATCAATATTGATATACATAAAAATTATGTTATCTTTTAGTTTTAAAATTTCTATTTAATTGAATATTGATCTGAACTAAAGAAATATTTCTTATTATGCATGAATTGCCATCTAGGATATGGCAACTGCCCCACTTTGTTCCACTGTAGGGTGTCTTCCATATTTTTTTAAATGCCTCTGATAATGACAAGAACACTGAATTGTTGGACATAGGATTGGCCTACAAGGACATGAGGAAGTAAGTGCCTTGTTTCTTGATCTCAAAACGGCATGTGGATCTCAAAACAGTGGCTGTATTGTCATTAATCTAGGTTTATACCGCGGTTATATTATTATAAACGCGCCCATTTTAATGCAGTAACACAAGTTTATGTTAGTTGGAGCAGCATATTCAAATATAAAAAATATTGTGAATATTAGCAGGTTTATTGCAGTTTATTCTTATTATGCCACATGCCACTAAAACTACTTCCGTATGATCGAAAAAAAAACGGCGTGCAGTTGGCTTGGAAATGATGATCGATGACATTCCCGATATAATTTCACATTTAAAATGACAGCTATCTTCATTTCGTAGCCATCGCTGACGCCGTATTTGTTCGATAATATTGTATGAAAATAATGGCTTAGATAAAACAGGTTAATTAAATGTGCTTGTTTTTTTAAATACGCTGTTAAATATCTAATTAAATTAACTTCGGCGGTATTGGCACTAGTGGTCTCTCAAACACTTTAAACGTTGGGGGTGGCGCCCGAGGAACCGAACCAAGGCAACTCGGCGTCCGTGAGCTTTCTCAAAAACGGGGGAACCTCACACGATGCACATGTTTCTGCCCTCTAGTTATAATTATAATAATTCGCTGTATTTAAGATTCTCATTAAAAAATTATTTATTTTTAAATTGTGACAAAATGGTGTTAGATAGGAGAAAGTTGCAAGAGACCTTCTTTCTTGGAAATAAACCGAGTAAATAAAAAAACCCGAAATTTGTATTTTTATCAGTGGCGTACTATTTTTTTTTTAATTACCCGATGCGTATCACATCTACGCCACTGGTTGAAACTAAAACCTGTTCTTTTTACATTTAAAGTGTCTCTGTTAGGTAGATTCCTATAGTGAATAAATATAAAAGAATTAATAAAAAAAATAATTGAAAATAGTTCGTTCGTATTGGTCTTGGTCTTATGTTTTATGCGTTCGTATTGGTCTTGGTCTTATGTATTTGTATTGGTCTTATGTTTTATGCTAAGCTTTTATTTATTAGAAGCTTAAATAATACAAAAAATTATTTAACAAAAATACTTTTATTTAAACAGTCTTTTGAATATAGGATAAAAAAATGACTTATTCGAAAACAATCTTAAACCGATAGTACTTAAAATACAATTATTGAATTTCCTAAAACGTCATTAGTTGTGAATAGGAAATGAAACGGATGGCGCCGAGTTAGCGGGTACTGCTCCTTTCCTCCACAAGGACGTAATGGTTTTGGTTTCGGTGTAGAAGTTCAATCCCTGTTTGCCATAGAAGTGCAAATCACCGTGGAAACTGCCCCTGGATCCCGTAAAACTGAACATGGGTAGCGGAACAGGTATGGGAACGTTAACTCCTACTTGGCCAGCGTCTACTTCGTGTACGAATTGTCGCGCGTAGTTTCCACTCGTCGTAAAGATGGCGGTACCGTTACCGTACGGATTCGAGTTGATGATGGAGATAGCTTCCTCGAGAGTGTCGGCCGATATAACGGATAATACGGGGCCGAAGATTTCTTGTGTGTAGCAGTCGTACGAGGTTTTTACGTCGGTGAGGATGGTAGGTCCGACAAAATTTCCGTTAGGGTACTTTTCCACTTTTATGTTGCGTCCATCTAAGGGACATTTGGCACCCTAGAAAATAAGAAAATCTATTTTAGATATCGGTTTATATTAAGGTAGATATCCAAAAATAAAATAGAATTATACTCAGATACAAAAAAAAACGCAACGGAGATTTTTTTCGTCAAATTTAAGGTGTTATATTTTTTTTATTTTTAGTCATTTTTTTAGAAAACTGTATATAAATATATCAACTTTAATTCGTAAACTCGGTTTTTTTATAAACTTTAATATTTGGCATATTATACAGGGTTAATCAAGGGGTTTTTACCCTAACTTTAAAACACCCTTTGTAATAATTGTGTGTGTAAATTTTCCTAAAATACCGTGTGATAAAAAAAATGGCGTTAGCGTAGGGTTGCGAACTTTCAAAATAAAAAATAGAGTGTAAAAAAGAGGCATAATCGAAACATTTTCTGAAATCCTGTCCAAATGTCTAGGGTTTACTAAAATGTAATGTAAACGGTATGCGATGCGATTGATGGTCATTCTTACTTTCTTAAAAACAATTTTCAACAAAACTTTTTTCAAAGCATAAGCTAACAGTAAGTAAACATAAAATAGTTAAACATGTTTATCGCTTCCATAAATATTTCTTGTATGTAAATATTTCTTCTTTTTCTTTTCTGTACAAACGAGTGGGAGTAGCGAAAGACAGAGATTAAAATTTTTTTAAAGCATTGTGGCGATAGACAAATATTTTTTTAAATTCTGAGTTTGGTATGTAAAAAGAGGACCTTTTCAATGAGCGAGAGAAAAGAGGACAGTGAGATCAAAAAAATCCTCTGGAATAGCAACCTGGAATAGCAAACTGGTTGGCAACCCTACATTAGCGATGGCTATGAAATGAAGATCGCCCTCATTTTATATGTAAATTTATATGGGAAATGCCATCAATCGTCATTTTTCAGCCAACCGGACGACGTTTTTTTCGATCATACGGTAATATTTTTGTACGGCCAGAACTATAAATCCTGAGCATTTTATTTTTTGATTCATGTCAACACAAGCTTTGGTTAATTCTTAAAAGCGAAATGAAACTCCATCATATTCCTTAAAGAAAGTTATCAGATTTTGAGTCAACCAATAAAGGACCAAGGCGGGGCAAGTCAAAAATAGCGGACACAATTTTCTAGAATAGTAGAGACGCATAATGTAGTTTTTATATAAAGAAGCTAATGAACTTGGGTTAAACTTAAAAAATAACTTGTGTTAAATATTATGCCGGGACTACACATGCGGCATTTGATGATTTCCGAGCGCTCGTTAACGAAACTTCATCGTTTTCTCTGATCAGTGTGGACGGGGAAGTTGGAGTTCGGCGACTCTATCGGCGGCGAGAACGAGCGCTCGTCATTATGTCGTTATGGACTCTTTCTATCAGAGCTCGGCGATGCCCATATGTGTGGACGGAAAGGCGACGATGACGAGTGCGCGGAAATCGTCGACTGCCGCATGTGCTTTCGCGGCTTTACTTGAACTAAGCTTAACAAATATACCAATTTTTTTGAGTAAAAAAACAGAAACTTTAAAATACGTAATAGAAACTATAAAATATTCTTTCTGCCGAAAAGTACGCATTTTTAATGATTGTAAACCAATTTCTAATAATTGTAAAAAGGTTTTAGATCAAGCTGGTATATAACATTGAGTCTTTAATTAGATTTAATTTAATTTTCTTAATAACAGTATTGTAAAAAGAGTAACGAATTATTTATGATTTCCAACCTGTTTTATTCCAGCTTCAATTAAGGTATGTATTCTTTCTTTTGATTGAGGTGATATAACTGGTCCAACATCTGTACCAGGTTCGTGTCCTGCATTAACTCGCAATTTCTTGGCCTTTTCGACTAGATCAGGTATCCATTTTTGAGCTTCTCCAACTAGGATCGCAACACTTATTGCCATACATCTATAACAAAATATACTCAATAAGTATGGTTTATAATATATATTTTTTAATTTCACTATATACTATAAGACTGAATAATGATATTGGTTAAATTATTATTACTGTATTTTTTATTTATATTATTGCGATATATAGGCCCCTACAGATAGACGTTTTTGCACGCGTTTATGTACGTGCGTTCAAAAACGTGCATACAAAAACGTCAATGTGTATGCACAGAAACGTCACGTTTTTGAATGCACATTCGTTTGGAACGACGCTCATGATTTCTGTCGACGACAGAAATTTTGTACGTGCACGCAGGATTTTCTTGCAAGTCTCAACGTGTGGATGTGAACTGTACGTCGCACAACAGTAGCGTCGATTTGTCCCACAAGCTGCAGCGTTCTGTTGATTTGACTTTGCTAATAATTTCTTAGTAGAAATGTCTGATTGTAGAATACTATCTCGTGAATTCCTGCGGGAATTTATTGAATTGTACAGAGAAATGCCCTGCTTTGGCAAGTAAAATCCAAACAATATTTAGATAAAGCTAAAAAAACGAGGCTTACGCAAAGGTGGTTAGAAGCTACAAGTTGTTCAGCCAAAGGCTTCAGTTATAACTAAACTTAACAGTTTTCGGGGAAGATTTGGGAGGACTTGGAAGAAGGGAACATAAAATGGTTGTTGACTCCAAGAGATCTGGGTCGGGAGCGGATAAAGTGTATGTTCCTTCACTTTGGTACTATTACAAACCATTGGCGTTGATGAAGTCACTCTTTACACCACATACGGCGCGGTTAGGAAGTTTATTTATTTAGATTAGGTTATTTTTTTTAACTTTCGTTTGAAGCACAGCAGTGCACGCCACTGCTGCCAATACTAACTTAACCACTTCCTTGGACATCGCTCTAAAACACTGTGGATTTTCAGATTTTGTATGTGCATCTGTATGCAGTGCTAGTGCACGATTTTGTGTGCACGTTTTTGAACGCGCGTGCATAAACGCGTACAAAAACGTCCGTCTGTAGGGGCCTTATAAGTTTTATAAGTCACTAATATGTTTGCTTCAGGTTAGTAGAAACTTTTTCATTTGAATTAAATCCATTCATTTCATTAATTTAGAATATAATTATTACAATCACAGTTGGAACCTTTGGCGTTACAACCGCAAAATAAAACTAATTCACCACAATACACCAAAATATTTTACTTTTAAACACTAAACGTGCGTTTCACTAGCCATGTTAGCCATTATCAGCAGATGATTAGATCAGTTTTAATTATCTGCCGATGATGATAACTTCGCGAGTCCAGTGATGTTAACGCGCCTCCAGTATTTAAAAGTAAATTGTTTTGAATTGTGGTGAATTAGTCTTTTATTTTACTAGAATATAATTAGTGGAGCAATGGCAAAACGCCAAGAAGAACATATGAAATATCGTTGTAGATGGCATTCTTGCCTCTGAAATTTCCTTATGTAAATGCTATAAACAGCTTAGAAAACTTCTCCAAAGGAATCTAGAATGAGTGGGATTAATCACCGCGACCTTACAGGTCTATTGTGTCCCCCTTTCTTGAGTTATAAATCATCATACAGTCCCACGTCTTTGACAAAAGCCAGTATCTGAGACCAAAGAAAACCAATGCTAAATTCCTGTGGGACAATTTCAGTTAGTTTTTCACCGTTTAATATCTACTTGATAAAGGAGAAAAATCAGAAAATAGAGATACTTGAGGGACCTTCTTGAAAAACGGTGAAGAGAAAATGTGTTTCTATTATCGAGATCTACCAGCATTGAAAATATTATAGCTAAACATTTTTTTTATTGGGCGAATCCCTTGTAGTACTTTCGCTAGGTCTAAGGAGCATCTAGCTGTTTTGTCCCTGGTTGTAGTGTCGTGGCCAGGAAATAGCACCAAGACGTATAACGATGCCAGATGGGACTACCCCGAGGGGTGTCTCACTCGGGTAAAAAATGTACACGTACTGCCAAAATATCTTTCCACTGCTAAGCGACTGCCAATGACTATGAAGAAGACTGCCTGTGACTGCCATGTAATTATTAAAGGCGACTGCCATAAGACCGCCAATGACTGCCAGCAACTGCCAAGAAAATGTACATGTAATTCCAATAGTGAGACACCCCTCGGACTACCCTGTCCATCATACCAGGTACCCTCTATTGTCTGGTATCTCACGGGCAGAGGGCATAGGAGGAGGGTCTTGGTTTAATCGTTTGGAGTACCAGACGGAACTCCATTGTATCCGTTACTTCTACGTGCGGGCCTCAATCTTCCTCAAAGGAAACAAAAGCAGAAACACTTCTTGAAAAAAGTAATAACTCAAGCAAGGGGGACACAATAGATCTTTTAGATCGTGGTGATTTATCCATCTCGAATTTATTCTACATTCTACATTGGAAGAAATAGGATACTTTTATACAAAAACATGAGAATATTTTTAGCACATAAAGCATTGAAGTACCAACAGCTTAGAAAACTTTTTCAAAAGAAACTAATGCTGAATTCTTGTAGCACAATTTCAAATGTGATTGATTTTTCCTCCGTTGGGAATATCTACTTGATGACGGAGAAAAATCAGAAAACAGAGTTACCTGAAGTTAGAAACAATTCATAAAATTATTGTTACCTTTGTCCAGCTGCTCCACAAGAAGCTCCAATCAGAGCATCTAGAGCTGCATTTTTGTCAGCGTCTGGCAGAACAACCGCATGGTTCTTGGCACCCATGTTAGATTGAATTCGTTTTCCGTTTTTGGCGCCTCTTTCATAAATGTGCTTTCCTGCCCGATCGCCACCCACAAAACTGATTGCCTTAATGTCCGGATGATCACAGATAAAATTGACCGCGTCATGGGTACCGTGAATTACCTATAAGATATACAGATTATTTAGGCTGCTGCTTCAACCGTGGCACAGATAAAATCCGCATCATAAAGGAACTACTTCTTCGTTTTTCTTAGCAATAAATACTTATTCATTAAACTATTGTAGATCTTTTAAATAAAAGTAAGCTACTATAAACTTAAATAAAGTCCATAAACTAATTTCGATTTCGAAAATAGCTATTAACTGTCACTGGAAAATTGCCATGGCCACACCAGCTATCTTGATTGCCATTTTATTGAAAAATCGCCTTTTATTCAGAATCTGAGCCAGATAGGTATAAGAAACCATAATATAGTTTGAAAGAGCATTTAAATATGCTTCGAATTATTTTAAAAAATACAGAGAGTTGCATTTGATATAACAAAGTTTTTATGTAAAATAAATATTTAAAATAGACAAGCAGTTTTTGATACCTCTGTATACATTGAAGAAAGTAATCATTTTTTTAGTAAAGTTTATTTCTCTGGCTTAAAAGTTATCACAAGAATTAATTCTGAAAAGTAATGTACAGGGTCTTAACAACCTTTTTTTATTATAGCACGCATATTTAAATACAAGAAATATTAGCTGATTTAGTATCACCTAAAATATCTTGAGAAAGTTATCTGTGGATTCCGATAAAAAAACAAATAAAAAGTAAAATAATTTTATTTATACTTTCACACAGAGACATTGAGATCGATACATTTGTAATTTAAAAATAAGAATAATCGGTATTTTATTTAATTCCTCTAACCAATCTAAAAAAATGGCTACGGATGATTTTCTACTTCAAACTGAATAATAGAAAAACAGTTGACAAGATGTGATTAATCTGTTAAAGGACCTATAAATCAAATATCGGAGAAATGCAAAGGAAAGTGAAAGGAGTTAAACGTGCCCTAAATTCAAACAGTTTATTTTAAACTAGATGAGAAAGTTAAAATTCCGGTTCACACAAATTTCCACAATATGCAACATGTTTTAAATTTAATACTAAATTATTATCATCAATTTAAATGCAGGCAAATAGAAGATAATTTGAGAGATTGGGTATTATTAAATTAGTTAATATTAGACTCGTATTATGTCTGTTTATACATTAAATTAATGGAATTTCTCGGAATACCTATTATAATTATTCATCGATTATATCGATATAACTTCTAATATGCTTTAATTTTTTAGCTAGAATATTTATTTTGCCAAAAAGGAAGACAAACTATTAGGTATCCAAATCTTCAAAGGGCGTTATTAAAAGCAATGTGAGGAAACGAATGGATGTTTGTAGGATGCAATTTTTAACCCAAAATTTTATATTTAACACAATTTAGAGATTTTAGGGGGGGGGCGGCCCCCTCTGTATCTGCCACTGTTTTCAATATATAAACGCGGATTGTTCATCCAAAGATGTTTTCGTCAAAAAAAAAACGTATTATAGATATTACACATTTTAATATAGCAACACTGTCGCTTTTAGTTCCACACTGTTTTCGATATGCCTTCGCTGGCCGCGTTAGAGAAAATAAGTGTTTTATGCGTTGGCCGCAGAACGATTGGTGTTTCCACCGTACAGCACTTTAGACGCAAAGGGAAACCATATCAGCCTTGTCACGAATTCGCTCATTATAGGTTGCGTATCTTCCAAATTCTTTCAATCAATGTTATAAGTAGCGACGCATAGCGAGGCGAACCTGGCAACTACCGACTGCTCCACTATGTTTTTACCCCTCGTTTTTACCCTTAAGTAAGACAATTTATGAGCGGTACGTAAGAGAATCTATTACAAAATGCCAAAGTTAGACGAAATAACATTCTTTACTATTTAACCTTGATCTACTTCGGCTTACTTTGCGAGCAGTGCAGAGGTCGTTTCACAGAATTCAGAGGTTTCCGATGTTGTTATGGAACGCTTTGTGTATGCGGCATATCACGATTGTAAGGTTCTTAATCGATATTGGCCCTCCAGTCATGGCCTTCCGCTCTTAATGGTGGTTTGGTGCTGTATTTTTGTGATTAATACCTACAATAAGTCATAAATTCTTACATTAACTACGCCGGGTGGACATCCGACTTCATTTAGCAACTCCATTAATAGCATCGTAGCACCTGGGTCACGTTCCGATGGCTTCATTACCATTGTGTTACCGGCTATCAGAGCTAGAGGAAACATCCATAGAGGAACCATAGCAGGGAAGTTAAATGGACAAATTCCAGCAGTTACTCCTTGAAATGACGTAAAAATATTACTTGTTTCGGTTGAATCAACGTAAAATCGGATCAATAGACCTAAACTTAGTATAATATGGTAACACTAATAGAATAATAGAGGAAGAATTTTGAAAAAGTATAAATATCCGTGTCCGGCGTCTAAAAAAACTGATATTATTTTTTTTGTTCGACTAGAAATGTGACACTGACTAAAAAGAAATGGTTATACTTAATTTATTAGGATTTAGTTTTATATCCAGGTGACACATTATAGAATATTGAAAAAAATAAACGGATACATAGGAAAAAAATATTATAGGTAAAAAAACAGCAGTACCGCATTCGGATATAAAGAAGTAAAGTAGTGGAGTTAAAAATATAGAAATGTATTCAATTTTACTAATTGATCCTTACCTTTTTATAGATTATCAAATATATTAATAAATGGGAGTGTATTATAATGTATAACATGTATAAAATTTATTTCTATATGACTCACCTAATGGAACTTTGTACGAAGTAACGTCCATATCCTTTGAAATTCCTTGAAGGCTTTCCCCTTGGAGTAAGGTACCTGCTGCGCAAGCATGTTCTACCACCTCTAAAGATATTAAATTCATAAGCATATTCACTTTGTCAATTTTAAAACTTCCCACCCTTAATATCTTTCTTATTTTTATCTTTAGATATATTACTACAACCCCCTAGAGGGGGGTGGATGTCACCCTTACAATCTTAAATAGGAATGGGGGTCAAGTGGCACATCGTTTTAATGGGCGTTTAATTCTCTTTTCAGTAGTATATAACTTTGTTGCATTTTGTCCAGATGTTTCCGAATAATCGCGTTTCAAAGTTGCAGAAACAATTAAACATGCGGGCATTGAGATTTTGGGTTTCAGGATTATATTTGCTGCACATGCTTTTTTTGTTAAGGCAACTTATTTTTAGAATTTGTTGATAGAATAGCAAATCCTTTTGTGGAATTTCAGCGATAAGACATCGAATAAATGCATAGGTAGGTAGATACTGGTAATTTTTTTAGGATACTTTTTGATGTAAATTTTTGATGTTACTTTGCCAATCCCTAAACACATTTTCAAACGGTGCCACCCATGGCCGTAGCGAAGAAGAGGCAGGGGAGGGCCATGCCCCCCTGGAAGTTGCCTCTCATTCGAATTTGAGAAAAGAAACGTAAATGTTTCTGATGTTTTTTGTTTATTAGTATTTCGACCCCCTAGAAAAATGTAATGACTACGTCTATGTTGCCACCTAATCTTCTAATCATTTTACATGGAGACCAATAATTGCGATAATTTTTGTGTAAACACTAGCCTGAAAACCAAAATCTCAATGCGGGCATGTTTAATTATTTCTGCAACTTTGAAACGCGATTATTCGAAAACCTCTGGACAAAAAGCTACAAAGTAGGATACCACTGAAAAGAAGCTACGTCCTTTAAAACGATGAGCGACTTGACTCCTATTCCCATTTAAGATTGTAAGGGTGACATCTACCCCTTCTAGGGGGTTGAAAAAAAGGCTAAAAATATTCATTTAAAATGTCCCCCTTACAAATAAAATTGACGTGTCTTTCCGATTTTTCATATTTTTAACTGCAAGAAAGATATTAAAGGTGGGAATTTTAACATTGACACAGTGTAAAAATGGTTAGGTTAATGGTGTTGATCAAAATTTACCTCAAAATTTACAATATAAAATAAAAGTGAGTTATTAAGCTTTGTGTTGAAATTGATTTAAGGTTTAAGTCATTTTTATTTAATAAATGACTTAAGACCTAATATTTAAGTCTTTTTGAAACTGATTTGTTGCAGCTCTGATCCGGGGACACACTGTATACTTAATATACTTACGAATTCCTCGTAAAACATCACCGTCGGCATCAGGAAGCGTTTTGCCTTGTTCAAGAGTTATATTAGCCGCAATCTTCTTCATATCCCTTCTAAGTGCCGCTTGCAGTTTTAACATTATTTGTTGCCTAGTAAGAACTGACGTATTCTTCCAAGAGTCGTATGCGTTTTTACTAGATTCAACTGCTGCTTCCATTTCTAAAAATAATTGCGATATTTTTTAATTTTTCTTTATAGCAAGTGAATTAAATTTTGTTTTTAACCATCTACTTAAATTTATTCTAATATAGGTAATACACTCACCGGTACGAAAAACGGGTACCTTAAAGTTTTGATGTATTTTAAAGTTTAATATATTTTGTTCTAGTGGGTTCATGTTGATACTTTTTTAACCAATATGTAGCTAAATTAGGTGCCCGGTGGCGTAGAGGTACAGGCACTCGTCTACCAATCTCAAGGTAGTGTGTTCGAATCCCACACCCGGCATTTCATCAGCCGACTATTTTATTAAAATAAAAATAGTTTGGGTACCTATTTTTGGTCGACTCAGCCTTAAATGAGTATTTAGGATTCACAATCCTGAGGTAATAATAGGCAGTTGAAAGGTAGTGCTCGCCACATTACCTTCCTTGTATACCGAACGGCTCTAGTATGGCAAGCTGTACCTTGCTACTCCCAAGGCGTGAAACGCTATATACGGGAGCTATTATTATTATTATTATTATGTAGCTAAATTATTTATTTTTTTCGCAATCTTTTTCATGTCCCTTCTGGTTCATATCCCTTCTGAATCTCTTTCTAAATTAAAAATGAAAGTTCCCATCTGTCAATTATACCAGGGAAACCAAAATGTTGATATTTTGGTAAAAGTTTCACAACACCCTGTGACTGTGGAACATGTTAAGACAGTAAGGAATTTAAAAAAGCGATCGGTTCTACAGTCCAGATATGACATTCCATATCCGCTGACCCGGTTGTTCAGAGTACAGATATTACAGAGTACATAATAATCGGGACTGCGACATATCCGATATTTCTCTGCGGTAGTCCACTAACGTACAAATATTAATGAAAAGTAAAGATCACGGCGGAACAAATCTTTTAAAAATTTCTTGCGTGTATCGGCGGATAATGGCCTATCATTGCCTATTATCGAGAACCGCATATTTTTCAGGCTGTCGCGTCGCACCGACATAAAATATGTTCTGTCGTTTCTTATCAGATTGGATGATTTCTTATCATAGGGCTTCGTCCGTCAGTCCCATTAGCCTTAGATGCATATTCAACTTACAATAGCCGCCCATAAATGCAAGGAATTTTTAAGCGATAACTTCCGCAGTTCATATATGACATTCCATATCCGCTGACTCGGAAGTTTACCATCTATATGTACATCCTTTCTCGATAGTTTGTTTTTTGGTTCATCTCAATAGCTTTATTTTTCTTAGAGATATTCGCTCTTGAATAAGATACTAACATTTTTTCGTAATTTTTACATTAAAACCATGTGTTTGCTTTTGGCACGGCCTTAATGTAAAAATTACAAAAAATATTAGTGTCTTCTTCAAAAGCGAATATCTCAAAAAAAAAAAACTATTGAGATGAACCATAGATACCTCTTTGAGATGAACCATAAACTATCGAGAGAAGATGCACCCAGATGTTAACATTATTTTCTAATTCCTTGATTTTTAAGATATTGTACAGGGTTTTTAAACTTCCATCAAAATAACAACATTTTGTGTCCCCTCGTATAATTAGCACATGGGATCTTTCATTTTTAATTTAGAAAGAGATACTAAAAAGTAAAATAATTTACTTATAAATGGCTTAAAATATCATCAAAATTGGTTCATTACATCAGAATATCTAAAACTTCAAAATACATAAAAAATTTAAGGTGCTTGATTTTGGTACTTGTGAGTGTGATGCCTATAAATTTATAACAGTAATTTTTATGTTTCGTTGTTTTCTCTCTCTTTCCAATTGTTCCTCATAGCTGAGGGTCGTGATAAGTTCTTATATGAAAATACTTTTTGTTTTATAAGATCTTTCCAGGCAAATCTGTATTCAGCTCGAGTGTAGGGGTAGACCCGTTGTTTGTCTTATTTGATAGATCCATCTTGTTGGGGATCGACCTCTACATCCTTTTCCTTATCACCATTATTATCGACACACACATCACCAGTTATAATAATTATATTAGACATCACCAGTTATAATAATTTTTTTTCCATGTTGTTGGCAGGTCTTCGAGCAATGTGTCCAAAATACTCGAGGATGCGTTTCAGACAGATTGCAGACTGTCGGGTGGTATACAATAAGTGAGTATGCGACAAATGATGAGAGACTGGAAGCATTCAGGGGTCGCAGTAACTTCAAGCAATTTATTCCTTCAAAACCAAATAAATACGGAATTAAAATATTTGCTTTGGTAGATGCGAAAATGTATTATTCGTACAATTTGGAAGTTTATGTAGGTCGGCAACCAGAAGGTAGATTTCAAAAAAGTAATGACCCAAAAAGTGCTGTTTTACGTATGATTGAGCCAATAACAAAAACAAGCAGGAACATTACTGTAGACAACTGGTTTACATCTTACGAATTAATGAACGAACTCCTTCAAAATCACAAGCTAACTCTTGTTGGAACATTGCGAAAAAACAAAAGAGAGTTGCCCCCAGAATTTGTGAATACAAAACATCGTCCAGTCAACTCAAGTATGTTTGCTTTCCAAAAAGATAAGACTCTGGTATCATACGTCCCACGAAAAGGAAAAAACGTAATACTGTTATCCAGCATGCATTTCGATTACGAAATTGACCCTGGTACTGGCGACAGCTTTAAGCCTAGTATTATTACATTTTACAATAAAACGAAGGGTGGCGTTGATATTGTTGATGGGTTATCAGCAAATTATAATTGTGCCAGAAATACAAAATGTTGGCCAATGGTTGTTCTGTATTCATTACTAAATATAGCCGGGATAAATTCTCACATACTATTTACATCAAACAACCCTAATGTAGATTTGAAACGTAGAAGATACTTGATGAAGTTGGTCCGTGAACTGATAAGTGAATACCAAAAATATAGGGCAACCCCCACCAATTTACCACGTCAGGTTAGATATCGTAGACAAGAGGCTGCAGGAATGTCTCAGGAACAAAGACAGCGTCCAGAAGCTGGAAAACGTAAAAGATGTGAAGAATGTGTTAAAAAAGATAGTAAAACTAGTTACTATTGTAAAAAGTGTTACAAATATTTATGCCTAAGTCATGCTAATATCTATTGTAAGGTATGCGAAGAAGGTAATATTGATATTGATGATCAGAGTATTTAAATATTATTTTTATAATTACTAATAAAATATTTGCTAAGAAATAACTTTTTTGCTTTTAAACCTCAACTAATATAAATAAATGTGTACCCTAGATGTTCTATATATGTCCTGGATGTTATGTTTTATGTGTAAAATAAACAAGCGCGACTACCGCCGGGTTAATCCTTGGTCGACGCTTCCACATATCTATTGAGTTACTCAGGACTACATTTAAGTATTTAAAACCCTTCGTCAGGTTTCATAAAAGACAAAATAATTTTTTTATGGTTTTTCTTATTTCATTACCTAATGTAAGTAAATTTTCAATTTTGCAAAATGCACAATTCTGCATTGAATTTTTTGATTTTAATTTCCGTGCATTGTACAGGATAAATAATTTTAACAACGACAATCCGCTAAATAAAATCACGTTTTTCTGCAATATAATTTTAACGCGATTGTTTTAATTTACCTGCCTGTGTACTTTGTGGCACTCTGGTAATCAGGTTATTCGTAGCCGGGTCATGCAAGTCAACCCATTGTGTTGCTTTCGAGTCGACAAACTGACCGTTAATGAATAGTTTCGTCGTTGGAGCTACATTGGAGTAATTCCGTTTAAGTGCGTTGAATACTGGCGAAGTCTGAAACAACCACAAATTAAATTAATACATTGTATGAATACTAGGGTGCACCAAAAAATATATTTTTTTAATTCCCGTCAAAATATCGTTCACGACGATGAAAAGAAATTCTGGTAAAGTTTGAGATCTTAATATTAATTTTAATAGGAGTCTCATGGTGATTATTTCCCATTGAATAACACAGGATTTTTTTTAAATTTTATTTTGTTTTAACAAATAAGCGTATTGTAAAAATCAATACGTATTCTTGTAGGAAACTGAACGGTCTTCAAAAAAGGTCTGATATGATTTTTCATTTAATAGACTCGTTTGAAAGTTATTGAAGGTTAAATTTCAACTTCGTTTATGACAACTTCCACAATTTTTATATTTTATTGCGAAATAATGGCTCAAAAACACAAAATATCCCATTTTTCGTAAAGTTCGTCAGTGTTCTTCTGGTAAAACATTGAAATTACCATCATTATTAATTATCGTTAATTACAAAAGTTACGCATCTTCCTGATTCAATATAGTCATTTATTTTTAACTACGACTGTGTTTTTTTGTATCTTGCCTGGCGTCCAACATTTTTAGATTTAGCAGTTTTAGTGTAATTTGGTTTCCTCCAGTGAAATACAAACGAATCATGACTGCTCTATTGATGAAAAGCGCAAGGGGCAATATAACTTTTTATATAATAATTTTAAGGGGCAATACAGCCATCTCATCCGATAGTCAAACAACCTTAAGCGCGGCGATCAACTCAATAACCATTAATTCGAAGTTGGTCAAAGAATGTCTGGGGGAGCTGAACATATTAGGTAGAGAAAATAAAGTCCTCTAAAAAACCAAGAATCGTCCAACGGTCTAAGACTCTCGATGGAAATTCTCAAGAAAAATCAAAGATTTGTCTAACAATCTTCGATAGTTATACCAGTTCGATAACAATAACTAGTAAGAACAATCTTCGGATCGTCACGGGGTTTTTAGAGTCCGCTAAGACGACAACCATTGGTGCCATGAAATTTGATACGGCTGATATCGGAGATGGAGATTCAACCTCTGTAATTCCTAGATACTGAACTAGAGTAGATTCTGGCTTTTGTCACAGCGCTGAGACCATATGATGAGAGACTCAAGAAAGGGGGACAAACTAGATCTATAAGGTTGCGGTAACTTCCTCACTCCCATACCATCTACAAAAAAGCTACAGTGACATTGGATTTATGTAAAAAACTATTTGTCAACCACTTGTTTTAGCTACTCGTTGAAGGATAACAGAGATATGAGGAGTGTTCCGAAGTACAACCTTTTCATTCATTCCCTGTATTTAGACGAAATAAAATGGCTTTTGAAATAGGATCGTAATTTTCTCGAAGAAGTAGACAACTTCTTTAACAACAATACCCGATAGAAATACAGAGAAATGGAAGACTTTGTATACATCTACCAGTGTATATTCTCCAAGCTAAGGTCATCATAAAAACTGAGCTATATGCTCCTGCGTGTACTTGCTGATAGAACAGCATTGCACCAGAAAAATATTAAACATAATTTCGGATACTGGACAATCCGCTTTAAAAGAGTTTGAAGCAACGAAATGCACATCCATGATAATTATTTACTGTAAAAATTAATCAATTCACTAGGAGATAGGAACAATATGTCGTCGTTATGGATACCAGGACATGCCGGCTTAGAGGGAAACGAACTTTTCGAGAGAGTGAGACTGCAGGTAGTAGATAGTCACGGAATGAAACATGCTAGGAAAATATTGATGGAGTCGTTCAAAAGCAGAATCGGAGAACTCTTAAAAACTGACAGAAATAGCGCGCCTATGTTTCCTGCAGTATAGAAAAGTCACTGCAGGCCGAGAGTACATCTGCTGCAGAGGATGGATCTGGTGGAAGAAGGTGAATAACTCCTCTGCGTGAAAAGTGACGAAACTATGAAATACGTTATGTGTACCTGCTCAGCTGGATCTGGTGACCTAATCATGCATCAGGTTTGAGTTGTTTGTCAAATCAATGGAGACATACTCGTATAACTCTCCGATATGGGTAGGGGTGGATGGGGAAGTGGAAACCGGTCCGGGAAAAACAGGCAACCGGCTCAAATTCACAAAAACAAAATGACCATAACGAAGAAACATATTTCATTTATTAATATATAGGTAAGTAAAGGTGTTTTTCGCTCGTGCGAAAAAGCTCTTTTGCCTCCGGTTTAAAAAAAATAAAACTGTCTCGATCAAAATTTTCGTAAAGATCAATATTAGATCGGACATCTGAATTTTTACTACAAAATGGCTCAGTTTTACAGGGTCCTTATATACTGCTTTATTTCCATTATCGATAACGGTAATTTGATCTGAAATAGGCTACGATTTTGAGTCACGATTTTGAGAAACTTTAGACTTCCTGATTCATTCAGTTCAGCTGACCCAATCCTCTGTGAAATACATTACTTTTAGCTTTTCGGTTAGGTTTTACTTTTTTACACATTGTAGAAAGAAATTCTCTCTTTTCTGCTACAACAACAGCCTCTTCGTGTACACGTGTTTTTAACAGAATGATCTCGGCGGTCGCCATTAAAACTGCAGCATTTTTTAGGTTATTATATAGTTCTTATCACGAATTTTCCCCTATACTTTTCTACATTTGGCATCTTGTATGGTAATGCCATGACTCAAACGAAAAAAACCTAGGCAATACCTAGGCAGTGGATATAAATGTGTTTTGATGTAATGCTATGTTACAGTCCATAATAAGAATATTTGGATTTTCGAGACATCTTAATATTTTATTATCTAATCTAGTTTAAACCTTATTTAACTCTTCTCTACTGTCTCAGTAATTTTTAGCAAATTCATTTTAGCAACATTATAAACAACAATTTAGACTTGACTTTTAGTTCTCAGACTTGGCTATTAGTCCGTCCTCAATTCAAACCAAACATAGATATGTTTTCTCCATCAACCGCAGAGTTCGCGTCAAATTCGTCTACCTTTTTACAAAGGGGTGCTCGAAAAAGATTGCACCGAGGCCCCCAGTTGTCAATCTACGCTACCGTATTCTTAGTATACATTTAGATCGAGACTATTCAAATTTACCAAATGCTATTCATTCTTTTTTTCTGCTGCCTGTCAGTCATTTATTACTTATTAATAAAAGAATAGTGGGTAAAACTATACAGGGTGAGTCTTAAATAAGTGTAAATATTTTCAGGAGTGGTATATTTCGACCCCAGGAACAGGTCTATGAGTTTTTTTTGCAAAAAAGATGTTAAAAATCGAGCATTTTCTTTTAAATATTCCTGTATATTTTAGAAAACTTTTTAGAACTTCCTGTTCACCGCAAATTTTCCCACGGTATAGTTTCTTAATCTCTGATATTACGGCACTAAAAGAAATGCATATACCGAAAAATTGATGTAGCTCAATTTTTTTTTAAATAAATTTATTTTTTTTAATTTCCAAACTCGATTGGACTTATTTGAAACTCGGTAAAGAGAATATATTATATTTATTTTATTGAGATCTACCAGCCCTGAAAATATTTGCACTTATAGACTCACGTTGTATAATAAAAATTTCCAAACCGAACAAACAACAGATGATTATTAAAATTATAAGTGTCCCAGGTCCCAGAGAAAGACATTTTACATTTACATTTATTTTTTATTTTAGTTATTTTACAAATTGGTGTTTATGTTTAAAGGCAACTGACGATTATACTGATGCAAATTGATTAGTTAGTTATGGAGTTACTAAGGATCTTACGCCACTTTAGTTAGAAGATTAACCATTTAATTTTTGCTAATCCAATCTTTTTTTGAGCTCGGATCGGGACCGGCCCCTCGGCCCATCTTTCCACCGGCCCACCGGGAATTTTCCCATTTTCGCATATGGCCCATCCACCCCTGGATATGGGTAAAATTTAACTAATTTTATTGTAGTTCTTGGTCGCAATGTTGGCCAAGAGTCGATTCCATACTGGGGACCCAGTCTTGGTAAAACGCAATACAAATGCCAACGTAGTAGGTTTAAATATTTTTTAATTATTCGATAAGGTATCAGTTAAGATTCTGGAGGTTTGACACATAGAAATAATAGTAAAGAAAAAATATATAAAAGATATGAAATATATAATGTAAATTGTATATACTGCAGGACAATTATTTTATATAAATTAATATTTTGCCTATATTTTTAGAATTACAATTCTACAAATATGCAAATTTAATAGAGCTTTTGAACAATTTTTCGACCAACCTGGAGAAAGGCAGCATAGAATAATTGTTTCACAGGCCAGTTAATGATTTCAAAAAGAATGTCACTACTAATTGGAAATGTTTAGCTTAAGCTACATGAAAAGAGTAATTATAATTCAGGTTAACAACTTGTGACAGTTAAAAAATATCATGAGAAAATATATTATTTTAAGATGGTCAATTGTTGTAAAAAAACAGTACATCATATCGTCCTATTGCGGCCAAAAGTCACTAACTAACATTTTTCCGAACAACCAAATTCAATCACTAACTATGTTTTGAAGCGGAGAATCGATTGCAAAAGTCATTAACTACGATTTCTGGCTATTTATGTTTTATTTTAATACCGAATAGTTACTAACTATAACATCTTTATGCAATGCAATTCATCTTTAAACGCATTTTTCTCGGAAGTAATAAAAAGTAAGTTAGTGACTTTTGGCAGCAATGGGACGATATTATAGTTTATATGACTGTTGATTGATTTATAAAATGTGATTTATAAACATATTTACAGTTATTTTTTATTTAAAAGATAATTGTGATTTCTTAATTTTTGGTAAATATTTAGTTAATCATTAAGAAATTATTTGACTTCGTAATATCTTTATTATCGTACTGTTTACTACATTAAGCAAGATCCTAAATTAGCCAACGACAATAAGAATTAAGTTAACTTTTAAACGAAAAAAATATTTGTCTCTTATTTTCATTTTATTTTAAAACTACCTTTATTAGTTGGTCTAAAATATATGCGAAAAGAAACTATTTGAAGTTCTAAAATTTATGAGCATTTTAGAAAAATAGTCTAATCTTTTAAATAAAATTTGACCTATTGGCTAAAATTACAAAAATATATAATTATAGGTTTTTAACTTGTTGAATGAGTTTATGACTATCTTTACGAGTTAACAATATTATCATTTGACTGATTATTCATTTAATAATACAATCATAATAAAATAAGTCTGTTATTGTGTTCATAATAATAAAAGACCCGTTTGATAATTCAGCATTTTCTAAAGAAATTAAATTATGCCGCTATACTATACTGACTAGTCTCCTCTGATCCAGCTAACGATTTTTAAAACAGGAAATCTAAATAATTCATGCAATATCATTAACTTATGGGAAACAGAGTAAAAAAAACGGCGTCAGCGATGGCTATAAAATAAAGATCGCTGTCCTCAATCGTCATTTCCTAGCCATCTAGACGTCTTAACTTTCAGGCATACGGCACTTTAGATGTTTATTCATTTAATAATGCAAAACAATGACTGATAAAACTGTTGTAATTAAAAATATAGAGAACATTTAAGATATTTATTTAAGATTTAAGAAACAGAGTATCTATAGCAGAGACAACTACCTATAGGGAAATTAAAACAACTTTCGTTGCACGTCATCAATGACACCATGCGTCGTCTTATGGAGTTTGCTGGTGGTCGTATTATCACCGTACATAAAACGAGTTTTATGTACGGTGGTATTATGATGTGCAACGAAAATTATTTTAATATCCCTTTTATAGTTCAGTATTTTTCAGTAATATTGAAAAAAAGGGCGACGCAGTGGCCTGTCATTATAATACTAGATGCTAATTTTAGTGATAAAATTGAAACAAACTCATTTTAAAATATTAATATTTAATTTTAAATAATAATATTTTTTTTCAACCCTCACAAAAGTGTCAGTTTTTGCAACGTGATTGACAATATAAAAAAGTCATTATAACGCCTAGGCATAAAAGTAAAGCACTTTTACGCCTAAGCATAAAAGTACGAAAATTTATTATTAAACTGACATAAAGTGTCAAATTCAAGAAGCCCGTAACCATAGTTTCTCTTTCATATATAATTACATACAAAGTACCTATGACTTTTTTTTATTATTAATTATTACTTATATTATTTGCAACGTTTAAAAAAAATAATTACAGTAACAAACATATTCTCAAAACAGTTAACTCAGTACAGTTTTTAATTAGATTTTGTGTGAATGGTTGCTTTTTCAAAGATTTATGTTAGATATGTAGGTATAAACAGGCATATGACAAAGTTAAAAGGACGGAGGTGTTTAGAGCATTAACAGAATTAGGGGTTAGCAAGAAACTGACCAAGATGATAAAATTGACAAGAGACAGTAAATGAAGTCAAAGTAAACAAGAAAACAACGGAAAAATTTATAATCAGGGACGGATTAAGACAGTATCTCCAGTACTGTTTAGTGTAGTATTAGAAAAATTTACAAAATATGCGGGAATCAACAGAGAGGGCTATCTGTATACAAAAAGACACCAATATTTAGCCTTTGCCGATGATTTAGTTATCATAGCAAGAGATCGGAAAGAGCTGATATCGGTGACCAAAAGACTAGAAAATCAAGCGCAAAAGGCTTAATGAGAAGAAAGGTTTAATGAGAAGAAAACGGTTTAACGGTTAAAAAGGTTTAATGAGAAGAAAACGAAACTTATGGAGTGGTCAGATATGGATTTTGAGAAGGGAAGATGTCTACAAATGGATTCTGAGAGAGGTAAACGATACAAGTTTGAGGAAGTAGATTAAGAGTAAGAACATTTCTAGAAGTATCAGAATGTACCAAACAATGATACGACCGTTGATTGAAAGAACTTATTTCCTTCAATCAACGATACGACCAATAGTGCTGTATACATGTGAAGGCTAGCATGTTAGAGATTTGGGAAAGAAAAATACTGAGGAAGATTTTTGGAGGAAAGAAGATAGACAGCATATAGACCAGAAGAACAAATGAAGAATTAACGCAACTATATCGGGCACCGAGTATAACGGGAGTAGCAAGAGCACAAAGACTGAGAGGGCTGGGACACATTGAAAGAATGGCTGAAGTAAGAGTTCCTAGTATGAAACGTGAAATAGGTGGAAGGAGAACGAGAGGTAGACCGAGAATCAGATGGAAAAAGGATGTAGAAGAGGACTTGAGAAGGATAAGAGTGGATGGGTGCAGAATAAAGGCGAAAGACAGAAAGAAACGGAGAAAGGTAACCAATCAAGCCATGAGATTTTTAGGCTTTTAGAGCTATTATATGTATATATATGTATATATATAATATATATATATATATATATATATATATATATATATATATATATATATATATATATATATATATATATATATATATATATATATATATATATATATATATATATATATATATATATATATATATATATATATATATATATATGTAAGTATATCATATTTAAAACAGACGAATTAATAAAAATTATGTATTTTGCGGGCTTGAAGCTTTGAAGTGTCCACTGCTGGACGTAGGCCTCCCTCAAATCGTTCTACCCTTCTCGGTTCTGTGCCACTTGGATCGAGAAAAATACAATATGATCGAAAAAAAAACGGCGTCAGCGATGGCTATAAAATGAAGATAGCTGTCCTCAATCGTCATTTCCTAGCCATTTAGACGCCTTAATTTTCAGGCATACGGTAGTTTTGATGTTTATTCATTTAATAATGCAAAACAATGACTGATAAAACTGTTGGAATTGAAAATATGGAGAACATTTAAGATATTTCGCTAGAAGGGAGATATTATTTCTTGTGTTTCGGTATTTAGGCAAATTTGTATGTAAAATGTAAAAGCAGTGAAATGTTCATGAGAAGCTATTTCTGGTGAATTCTAACCCAGTAGCATTTTACAAAAACTAACTATTGTTTTTCTATAGATAGGTACATAGCAGGTAAGTAAGGAGCCCAAGTAAATGGGGATTTATCGTGGGGACCTGTTGTATTGGGAAAATTAGATGATAAAAAGAAGAAAAAAAATATATGCTGTATGCTCTGGTGAGGGAAGCGTGTACAGGTTTTCAAAAATGTAAAAAAGTCACAAAGAAATACCCGAGCTTTTCAGATATGCATGATAATGTGCTTCTGATAACGAAGGGATATTAATTTGCCGATTTGCATGGTGGGGTGGCCCTACGAAGGAGTAAAAAGTGAGAAAAGAAAGAAAGTATTTGACCGCGTCAGATATTCAGCAGGGATGTTAATGAAGCGTGAATCATATCAGTGAATTCTAAAAAAGCTCCTGTTGAAAAGACTGACTATTTGGATACGATCAAAACTTAGGACAGAGTTTTTAGAAATGAGGCGTGAAGTTGCAAAACCTATCTTTCGGGATATGCAAAAATTGTTTTAGCAAATGTTTGAAGCGTTATTTTACAAAAAAAACGTGCCCATTGAGTGGAATCATTGTTTTGTATGTGGATTTTCTAGATATAAAAATTAATATTTAATTTTTAAAGAGAAAAAACACAAAAATAATTAGGATAAGGCGGGTTTTCGTGCAGTATGATGCGTATTGCGGATTTATGACTATAGCTAAGATATTTGTATCCTAACTTGATTTATTACATATGTCATTTTATTAAAATTAGGTAAGGATTTGAAATGGATAAGACGTCTGTAGTAATATTATACTTATGTAAAAACTCGTAAAAAAATGCGGGTTTTGTAACAATAATGACAATAAAAAACAAATATCAGACGGATTTTGCAGCAGTAACGTAATTTGTAGTTAATTTAATATAAGAATATAGGCAACTTTTGCTGCAGTTATGTTTATGTAGATTTCAGGGCCCCACTATTAATATATCATTAGGACATTTTTTAAATGAATTAGGCGGGTTTTGCAACTTCAAACCTCAAATACATAGTTGTCAGAACAACTCTTTATTGATGATTTTACTTCAGTACGTGCAAATCGACAGATTATGTTTTTCCTGTGACTCTTGAATGAACATAAAAAAAACCGGTTCGATAATGTTCAGTTGACATATTTATTGGCAACTTTGCGACTCTCCTGCTATTTCGTTATGTCACGCTTAAATCGTCAGATTATTTAAATAGACAGGTTTCGGCATGCTCTGCATGTATGGGTGGGGGTACTTAACAGGGTGTAAGGTTTCTCCCCTTACGTTATTCTGCGCGCTTGAGTAAATCCCCAAATCTCTGCTTAGGCTCCCTTACTAATATATTTTGTTATACGCATTTTAGAACTTGAATTATTATTTATTTAGCAATGCAATCACCAGATAAAACGGTAGGAGAATTATAAACAAAAAAAATCGTAAAGAACATTAATTAGTCAACTTAGATATTAGTTGATATTAGTAAAATTAATATTTTATATATAATTTAAGAATTATTTCCTATGCTTTAAGCTACCTATTATAGAATATATAAACAAGGCTATTATTAAAACAGGTAATCTAAATATAACTTACTAATAATTAAACTAATAATAAATAACGAATAACTTACTAAATTAACATTAAATAATCGTAAACAAAATTCTACTGAAACGTTCGAAAATAGTAAATAAACGATACTTACAGCTGATCGGATCATTGGTGCTAGTGTTGACCCTGACGTGCGTGGAAGATAGGCAGACAACTGCTCGTTAAAAACTCGCTTTAGTAACAATAAAACGATAACGAAATTTTGAATTTCGTCAGTCCCTACTCCGATTTAAATTCGTTGTCTGGATTTACAGCGTCATTCAGCTGTCCTATATATTATGTTAGAAAGACATTCTTTCGTTTTTATTTAAGTGGTGCTCTTTTTTTTAGCTAATTATATCGTTTTTATATTAATAATGCTTAATGTGATTCCATGTCAGTCATTTTTTATTGTTTAATATTTTTAAGTCGCGCGTGCATCTTATAATAGTCATAATTTTACTTTTCATATCTAATTATGGCTTTAGTCACCGAATATTACTTATTTACAAGTTACAATTTAGTAAAATTTCTATGTTGGTGATATATAAAATCTGATAATCTCATATTAGTTCAAGAGATCAGTTCAGAGTTTTCCAGTCATTTTTCAGAAATAGTCGGATTACCTGTTTTCAGTTCGTATAATGGAACGATCTGAAGATTTCCAGTTTCCAATATAACGAGTTTGAAAGCGACTGATAAAATATTTGGCCGAAGCTTGGACGAAGCAAGGTGGCGTACATAGGGGGCAGATACAGAAGGCTCCAGTCGACCTGTTAAAAATTGAAGTATTGGGGCCAGGAGGCCAATGCCAAATATTTCGGGGGAGCCCAACATTTCTAGTTACGCCATTGATCCTATGTACCACAGTTTTTGGATGCTCTAATGACACAACTACAGGTGGTTCTGTTTGTATACTGTGCGACATAAAGATTGCAACACCCAGTTAATGTAAATACATTTTATTAATATTTTGTGAAGTAGTTGGGACAAATGAATAATAATATCATTTTTTTGAAATTAATTCTTAACAATTCAATAGTGAGTTGTACCTCCATGCAAGGTTTGACATTCTGTAACTTTTTGTGGCATGCTGCGAATCAGATGATCGATATTTTCCTCTGGTAGATTCTCCCAGGCTAATGTTACCCCGTGATGTAGACGTTGTATGTACATACAGTATAAGATGTCGCAGCAGACTTGGCCTTCTACCTATCACATCCCAGGTCGGACTAAGTTCAATAGGAGTTAATTATAGTGACCTGGCATGTCACAGCAGAAGGGTTACATTATCTTGTCGGAGAAAGTTTCTAGTAATAGATCTGACATTCCCTTAAATTAAAATTACATGTTGCAGTTGCTAAAGATAGGGCAAGATGATAGGTTGTAACTCTTAATGAAGGACTGGACGTCCATGTCCGTAAAAAAAACTAGAGGTGATCTGCTTCCAGCTGTTATGGCACCCAAATCATAACGCACCTGGTAAGTGCAGTCTTACGTTCCATGCAAAATTGAAGCTGAATTATTTATTCTCTATCTGCTACGAAAATTATGATCCAACAAATAAAAACTTGACTCTTCGCTGAAAACAACCGGATTCCACTCTTGATTTCAGTGAGCTCGAAGTTGACACCAGATCAGACGTAGCTGTCTATGTCTATTGATAATGGCAATACCAAGCTATAGTAATATATATATATATAATATAAGCTTTAATTCTTCGACAAATCGAACTCATGGATATCAATTGACCCGTAGCTACCTTCCATTCATGTCTAATCTTCGCGTTCAGTTATTCTTCAAAAGAGCACCATTGCGTCTATAAAGTCTTTGGTTACTACATACCACTCTGTCGAACATTGTATCACTGTTGCGGCATTTCGGCCATTCCTGTCTCCAATTTCCCGAAAGATATCTCAGCCTTTCGTAGACTAACCTTTTTGTTCTTTTTTTATAGACGGGAAACGCCTTTAGGACCGGAGTGTGGGGATCTCCCTCATGAGAGGGGGCCTACCAACTAAAAAACCATCTGTGCTCTAATCTCGCCAATATCGATATCGTAGAAGACGTTAATCGAGATTAGAGACTTATCTACTCTTCTATGGTTGGTCTTGTCTGTACCCAAATCTTGTCTTTTTTGTCCTTCTCCTTTTTCTTTATAATATTCCTTAACATCCCGCAAATCGCTTCGATATGTTCGTTCGATAATGTCAGAAGGTCTCCGTTTACTCTAGTGTTTTTCCTACCACATACTTTTCTACGTTTTCCCGTATATCTTCGTGCGCATGACACTCAAATAGTGTATGGATAGCCAAGTCTAATTGCTCGCAATACCAGTATGTAGGAGAGTCCGTCTTGCGGATCCTGTGCAGATACTCGCCAAAGACTCCATGGCCAGTCATGACCTTGCGTGATGTAGTAGTCCGTGTAGGCCAACTAACATACCTCGTTCAAATTCAATTGTATAATACAATTATATAATATTATATAACTGACAATACATGGTACCTCTTCATAGAGGAGGCATTGATAAACGATGTTTTCAATACCCCAAAGGCAACAAAACTGATTATCACCAAACAAATTCTCAAAATTAATACTAAAATAAAACCTGTTTTTTTAATTAAATAAAGTCTGGTTATTTGTTAACAGACTGGGATAAAAATGTTCTTGTTTACTACAATTCGTGAAGTCAATAAACTGACAAAACCATATACTTAAAATAAACATTATAAATATAGCTAGCATATACTGTGTGTTGCAATTTCTAAGTTACACAGTTAATTCGCCAAACGATTTACTCCGTATTTGTTTTTTTTAAAGATGTCAAAAGTTATGACTTTCTGAGAAGGCATGTGGTTTATTGTATGTGAAACCAGAAAAATACTTTAACTACAGTAAGAGCATATTAGTTATTAAAAAGATGAAGCTATTTTCCATCTAAATAAGAAGTATAAATACCTTTCATCAATTATTTTGGAAATTATAATGAACTATACTTTCACCTCAGGTTTCATTTGCTTACCAGTACACAGCCACCGAGAAGCTGATTCTGCGAATTCTAACCAGTGATAGTACAGTTAGAAAAACATGACTTCTTTTCAAGTTTTTAACTTTTTTAGTCTTTTTTTCCTGTTTCAGTAGTAAGATACCCAACCACTTAACCAGGAATGACAATCATTCATTTCAATCTTCTTACTCTCATAATTTCCACTGGCATTGCATGTTGATAACAAAAGGTCCTTCTCTTTATCCAAATGAATGATTAATAAAACATCTTGCTTTCTTCTTTCTTCTATGATGTTAATTTTGAAATTGCATTTATTTCAATTGTAATATACGCGTTGTAAACGTGGTCATCTTATCGACAAGGTAAGGTTATCAGAATCAGAATTACTAAATACACTTAGAAAATATACACATTATGTTATGGTTGACTAAAAATATTTACTTGTTCAATTAGATTAAACATTATTTTTGCACGCTAGAAACCATTAGAACTGATACATTCAGAGACGAAGATATACGTCCATTATGGCACTTCACTAGTATCAAAAGCGTTTTTTAGCTATTAGAAGTAGCCAATAAATTATGGGTTTTCTTGGGTTGTTGCTAAACGCTGGTATCTTTTATACAAATATTGCTAATGGCGGGCAGAAAACTTAAGTTTTTTTATTTAAATCATTTTAATGACTTAAGTAATTTGATTTTCAATCAGTCATTTCAAAAGTCATTAATTTTTTTAAGTCAAGTCATTCGAAAACTTACTTAAAACTGAAAATTTAAGTAATTTTTAAATTTAATAATTGTGATTTAAATCTTTATTCCGAAATAGGAAAAGAATTATAAGTCATCAAAAAAAGGCTTAAATCCTTTAAAATATTTAGGTCTTTTTAGAAATGGCTTAAGCCATTAAAAAGGTTTATATCTTTTAAGATTTAAGCCAGATTTTCATATATTTTTATGATAAATTTTTAACAGCAGTATTTCTTTTTTTCTGCTAAATTGTTAGCAGACACTACAACACCCAATAGTTTTTTCAAATTTACAGTGTGTTAAATTAAAAAAAAAAATAATAATTTCTTGCAATTTGCCAGAAACTGCTTCAGATATATCTTTAATTTTTGGTATGTGGTGTTCAGGTATACAAGTATTTTTCTTCCAATTAACTGTTTTTTTATTAGAACCAGTAGCGTTCATACGCGAACACCCCTGGATTATTTGATTAAATTTTTTTTTTTTTAATATAAGATGTTACTATTAAGTAGACTTCAACACTAACCTCGAACTGTTGAGTGCAACTATCATAAACTTCAAATATTCTATAACTATTTGTACTTAAGTAACTCTAACTTAACTATGAGACTAGACTGCAAATAATACTACTAAAAATGATTAAGCAATTTATTAAATATCAAAAAGTTAATTTAATCGATAACAATTAATTATTCAAAATGAAAATGATATAAGCTATATTAAATCTGAGACGTCATCCCCCTTAACTTAAACCAAGTATGCTCTAAGGGCGGAATACAAATAGCAAATCTAAACCTAGCTAATATCTAAACATTCTTACTCTACTCGATGTGATATATTTGAAAACTTCCTCCGGTTGAGCTACGGTGTATAGCTACAGGGTTGCTACGGCGGTGTATAGCAGCTCGGTGTCACTGGAGCCCACAATTGACAGCAGACGTGCATAGGAAAGGCAAGTTGTTGAGGTTTCAATCGGTGAACATAAAAAAACCCAAATAACATTGGTTGTCTTAGAAAAGAGCCTTAATTATAGAACAAGGACTAGCACAACGTGTAGGAGTTAATAAAGGTAAGGTTGTTTATATTAAATTGTGTTATTTTAAGAAATAATATTTTATTTGAATCTCTAATTGACTTTTCTTGACCGCATGTATAAAATGTCGTTTCCTAGACGATGCGGTTTGCATTGTTGATGATTATTTAGACTGACGTCGCCATTTATCAAAAAATATTAAATTCAGATTATAATTGTGTGGAAAATATTTCTGGGACTGAATAGAAGGAATGAAGTATTATACAGGTGAGTGTATTTTGTTCACTCACGGGCATTACTGGGATTTGTATGAGAGTAGTTTAATATTATTTAGTTAACAGTTATCACTGAGCTTTAGTAGTAGATAGAAAAGGGTATTTTAGTATTACTTTAGTGTGTGTGTGTTTTATAGTAGATAAGTATTTATCAAAGGGCATTTTAATATTGTTTAGTTGAAAGACAGATGTTTATCAAAGAGTGTTTT